CCGACTGAACTAGTCCAAGCGACTTCACAGGAGCCCTTTAAGAGGAAACTTGACGTATTCTTAAAGACCAAAGATAACATCTTGTTATGAGTTAAAAGTTTCCTTTTTTATAATATATTATAGTTAATATACCTAGGTTCCTGCCTGGAGGTATTGGTGATCCTCTGCTACTAGGCACGAAAGCCTGTTAAGCGAAAGCTTCTTCTGTTCCGTCCACAACCATTTGGACCATTTGAACTAATTTGAGTGCCGCTTACGCATTTTTTTTGAAATTTCTGGAAAAACTGACAAGCATTATTTAAGAATACGTTTTTTGGTTCTTTGAACATGAGGGACATTTTGAAGTATTGAGGAATGAATGAGAACGCCTTGACGGCAAATTTGACTTCGACCTTCATGGGAGTGTCCCCTTCTCAAAAAGATTCACAACACAAAAAACATAGAACCAAACACAAACATAAACACAAAATAAAAGACAGTGTTAAAGAAGATGATGAGGAGTTTACGCGCCCCAAAATTCTTCCTCGACAGTATAGCAATAAACGGCCTCATAATCTTACCCATGTCAAAATCAAGATAGAGCCGCGTGAATCCTGCAGCCCGCCTCATAAACGAAGACTAAGTGACCCTGTAATATTGAAGGCTAGGTCTCCTCGAAGAAGCGGCAGGGTTAGTTCTCCGGTTGTCTTAAGGGACAGTGATGACATTTCTGAATCCAAACCTAATCTCGGGAAAAGCGGATTATTAGACGAAAACTCCGGTCCGGTTGTTAAACAGAAAGCCAACTTTGAATTATCAGGTACATATACTTGCTACACTTAGTATTTCGACTTATACTGTTGGGTGTACACTAAGTTCCTATCCAGAGATGTGATTTTAAAAAATTTGACCGCAGTTCTCGATAAATGGTAGCCAGATAAGTCAAGTTATTAGGCTGGTGCTTAATAAAAATTTCCTGGTAACTCAGTATGCAGGACAATCTGAAAGACTAACTGCATCACATTTAATCCCTTGGTAAATCCACTCATTTGTAAAATCAAACTACTGGTAATTTCTACTCAAAACTTACAAACTTTGCATTTGTTTTTAGGTGGCTCCTCTTTACCTCATGATGAACCACTTATTTAAATATCCCTTTGTTGAGAGATTTGTTAGCTTCCGAAATCATGCAGTAATAATAGTTAAAAAAGTTAGTTATGTAGAGGTGTCCATTAGTTAAATAAATTGTCTGACTGTTAAGTAGTTCGGGCCCACTTTCGTCACACATCTATTAGCTGAATATCTACCGGTGACTTTATTTGTCATGCTAGGACCAGGTCTCATAGCTTATTAAGATGATGAATAAATGACAATATGACACGTCATTGTATTATTTTAGCGAAGCAGTATGTGGAAGCATGGTGCTCAAAATTTACCAAGAAACAGGTTGTAAATGTGTCTACACTAGTGGTGCTAGCGCTTTCTTAATTCCGTAAATTCTAAAGATACATATTTTTACTGTCCTTGAGGTCATTCGTAGACATTACCAATAGTCCAGGAACTAATTGGACTTGCTTTGAAAACTCCCAGACACTTGAAATACTATCTGGGCCCACGTGATTTACTACCTAGCTTTCCTACACTGTTTGTCGACGCCTACTCACAAAACACAACATGGAGCTTATGACTAAATCCTTGATAAGCGTTTAGATTCGTCAACGGTGGTTCAAGCCCTTAACTTCTGCAAACCCGTTAGATACTAGTTGGTTTCATATATTTGTAATAATACTGAATGTACTAATTCAATCGTAGGTAAATGGAATATATTTGTTTAGTTCCTGTGGTATAGTTGTAAGAATGTACAAACCACTTCTGAAAAACAATTGTATGCCATTTCAGTTAATCAAAAGTTTGTCATAAATACAAATATTGAAATTATCGCCTGTCATTCTAGTTAACAGAACTTTTCCCAGTTAAACTGGACCACTACTGGACGTACTTAGTAGCTTTACATTGGTTTCTGTTCACGTTTAATTTCGTCTTAAGTAATTAAGTTGTTTCCCTTTTTTCTGTTTGAAAGGCAAACTTGCGGAGGACACAAATGTTTTTAAAGGTGTTGTGATAAAATACAATGAACCAGAAGATGCTAGAAAACCCACCACACATTGGAGATTGTACGCTTTCAAGGGGAATAAAACATTATCCGTACTGCATATACATAGACAAAGTGGATTCTTAATTGGCCGCGATCGAAAAATTGCAGACATTCCTATGGATCATCCAAGTATTTCGAAACAGCATGCTGTTTTGCAGTATAGACTTGTAAGTTAGAAGTTTAACATTAATGTTGGTGCCGTGTTTTGCCAGATATTTCTGTCATGAACAATAAATTAAGCAGTAGTATCTATGTTTACTCGGTCAATATAATTTTCAGTTACCTTCTGAATTTCAATCAGAATACTACGAATCGCCTTAATTTTCGGTAAAAGAAAATAGAACTTTCCTAAAGTGATAAAAGTACTTAACGACGGTACAAGTAAAATGTAAAGTCGAATTTATTAGTAAGAACTACTACTTAGCACTTGCCGTCGATTGTTTCACATTTGCTTTGTTGTGTCTTATAGTTGATGCAGTTTATGAACATAATTATCTTTCAATTCTAAAAGCATAAGCTTGTAGTTCATCTTAAGAAATGGGACTTGGAGTTATAAACCAAGGTGAGAACATAAAATATAAGGGACTTTTCTTCTGTGTAATTGAATTTCGATATTTAGCTGCCCCAATATACTGAAGTATAACAAGTTAGCGGATTTCAGCTGTGGACCATAGAGTACGGGTTAAAAGCTGTTTATAAGACCAGGTAGCAGTAGGTTTCATGTTTCTTTGTTCCACGTCAGTTATAAATAAATTTTAAAAATCCTGACTTGGAATGCCGTTTTGTTATGTACCTCGTTTCTCTGCAGCTTTACGATAATGACAATAATCATAATATGATACTTCTAGTTGCAATGGAGTTTTTTTTCTTCAGTTGGATTTTCCATTGCATATTTGTTTAATGCATGAATTTCGGTATAGTCTCCTTCCATTTATCCAACAGACAAGTAAAAAGATGGACCAACCGCTGGTTCTTCTGCCAGGAGTTTTTAGTATTTGATGAGCATTTAGTGGTAAGCATTTTCAAAGGTGATTGAGTACTTTGTGGTCAGCGCACGCAAACAGTAAAGCAAAAAAAACCAGGATTATAAGTTACCAGTTGTTATTTCTCTGCATCTTACTGTACATTTATTCTTCTATTCAGGTTCGTGGCCTGATTCGCTTGTATATCATCGATTTGGAGTCAGCAAACGGTACTTATTTGAACAATAACAGAATAGAATCTCGTCGTTACTATGAGCTCCTTGAGAAAGATGTAATCAAGTTTGGTTTCTCAACACGTGAATATGTTGTTATGACATCAGAAACTGACATGGATGATTCATCTTGATTATATTTTCTGTACAGTGTTTGTAAATATATGTTCATAATTATTGAATGGTAATATTTTCCAGAATTAAACTTGGTCATATCAATTGCATTGCACCTAATCTAATGTTATAATCAGAGTGAATGATGGCCCAAAATGATATTTCCGTTTTTATTGGGTAAGTATTTAGCGTAAAACACAGTCGTAAAGTCTATACACTTCTACCTCTTCAGTAGATATAATGAACTGTGCTAAACTGGTAGATAAACGCAAAATTGTTCTATTCTGTACGAAATCCATTGGCAGGTTCTTTTATATATTTCTGAACGAAATCGCTTTTGTTGAGCTGATTAATACGATAACGTGGACGGATGTGCACTGATAGTACACAAATCAACGGTGAATATGCCTCTCTTCGGAACTTTATATCTCAGTGAGCCGTGGAATATCGAAAGACAATGTTCTGACTGTGAAAAATGAGTATTTAGCAGAAATGTCACACTTCATGTACATTTTTGTGCAACCTAACATTACGGTGGAAAAGTGATTTAGTGATATGTCCCGATTGGCTTAACAAAAGCATAAATTGTTCAATATGGTTATTCTAACCGATTCGCAGCATACATCAAAACTTTCCTACCTCACAGACTGATAACTGTAAGTGTTAATTTTGAATTATGACTGAATCTATTTAAGAATACGATTTTGTAAAACTCAGTCAGAAGTTGCTAAAAATTATCGTTCTTGGAGCCATTTACTCAGAATACATAAACCATTTATGACTCATTTTCGTTCTACGACATGCTTTATCCCACCACCGAGAAATCCTATGAGTAATGTCTATATAACTTTTACTATATGGTCTGAAGTTAAGTACATAGACCTATTGCTGTTACACTAAAAAATCTAAACACTTATCAGTCAGTTATACTTATTGACCATATAAGATATATAAGTGAACCACCTTTCCTTATGCAGTTAATCATTGCCTATTCCGTTGAATCTATGGTTGACGATTTTCCAGAACTTTAGCTAATCTTTAGTGATCACCAAGTCACTATTCGGCTCGATGAAAATGCAAACTAACACCACCCCAATAGCTATTAAGAAGTAGACAGCTATTCTTTCATAGTTTGGGGTTCTACAATAGGTTGATTTTTCACTTTAAAGAGATTAGTAGGAGTAAAAACATCAAATCCAAGTAGAACAGCCACTCTTCTGTTAATAGGTTGGGAATCTTCATGAGTCCATATCACCAATTCTTTCTACCAGTGATTCTACGGTTGTCTGGACTATTATGTTGCTGTTGATTGAATGATTAACATTTCTCAACTTCATAATTATAACACAAACATTTTACTTAATGCCAATAGTTCGCATTCGCTCTTGACTTACATAAAACGTTTTTCCAACAAGGATTCCAGGTAATTTATTCTAAACTAAAGAGACAAGGATTTAAACGCTTATTTTCACTACTAACACCACACGATTGGTAAGTGGACAGTTATTTGATTCCTGGAAGCCCTTTTTGTTTTCACATTTAGTTATAAGCAAAAATAGTATAAAACCAACTGATTCAATATCCGTAAAATTTTTGCATAACAACTCAAAACACTCAACATAGAATTAGTTTTAAAGGAAGTACATCAGTAATCTTATTTAAATGTACATACATGCGCGTAAGACTAAAACAAAATAAAATTGGAATACCGGGATAGGTAATAACACTACAATATCTCACATGTATATGCATATGAATGTTTACAATTGGTAGGAGTAGTCTTTTGTTGACAACAAATAGAACTAGACAGTACCCCTAATTTAACCAGCGTCACACTAACCTTTAAAAATTACACTGAAAGCTAACAACTAGGGGTCAATATAATAGGGAAAAAAGTTAGCACGAAAAAAGTCGCAGATGCAAAAAATTACAATAAAATTAAATATTGAGCCAAGTGTTACATATATAAATATTATGTGTACACCCTTAAAAGTAGAATAAATGAAGAAAAAACAATCCGTGAGAGGAAAAGACGAAAAACATGTATAGTAAAGAAAGAAGAGATTGAAATCCGGTTAAACGATAAAATAAAAAAAAGTATCAGTGATGCATTTACACTTCGAAACGGAGTATTAAGATCTGGTTATAGGAGTACGTATGACACACAGATCTGTTTATTGATTATTATTAATATTATCATTACTAATAAGGATATCAGAAAACGCCAACCATACGCAAAGAATTTCACATTATAGAAATAAAAGTATTTCGAGAGATCAAAACGAATACGTAGTGTCTACTCGTATTTTTTTTATTTAAAAAAATTAAAAATATTAAGTGTATAAAACACATTATTTCTAAAATCACTGTGTTTTCATCAATGTAAAAGTTAGGTATTACCAAATTTAAGAATGAAAATCAATTCAAAGGAAATAATTTTATTGAGAGAAAAACTGGCAGAATAATGAAGACTTTGATGGAAATCTTAAAGAAGGAAGGAAGCACTGTGTTATTGACATATATTTATACTTATATATTTTAATTAGGCATACAATATTCCAAAGGATAAAAAAAGGATAATTCATCATCAGATTATAGAGTCATTGAAGCAATTATATTATCATATTTGTTGTATAAATCACTTCGAATAATAAACTGACAAGTAATAAATGCTGAGCATAATCAATCAATTAAACAAGAATTAAGTAAAAACAACAGCAAAATTAACTTCTTTTAGGTTTAGGAGCTAATTTTGGAGCAAAGTTTATGGAAGAACCAGATGAATCAGATTTAGTTGCTTCGAAAGCTGCTACTCGAGCAGCGATTGAAAGTTTCGGTTCACTAGTCGGTTGTTCATCGGCAGTCCGTGGTATTTCATGTTTTTTTTCTTCAGAACTTGCTCTATTCAAACGGGGTAAGCTTCTAGGAACTTCTACCGATTGAACTGTATGATTAGATTTACTCCGTAGAATAACTTTGCCAAGTTCTCCATAGCTTGAGTTACCACCGTCACTGGCGGGACATTGGCTTGAAGTTACTGACGATTGTGGTGATGATTGGGTTTCAGGGCGCTTTCGCATTGTATTCAAAGTTTGTTCGGCGAAATGTTCAGCAAAACTGTCAGCTGACTCTTCATGAGTGCAACTGGGAGATGGTGTACATTTTTGCACCTTAGAATCTGTTGAAATGGGAAGATCCATGACTAAATCTGGAGCATGTTTCGCGCTAGGTAAGCAAAGCTTACGAGTCAGTTCTTGGTTGCGTTCAAGCGTTCTAGAATCACTATTGCGGTTATCTGCTTGTTCCAAAGAAGCTAAACCACGCATAACCTTGATCAAAGATAAGTTGAGGTGTTAAAGAATGATAATTTGATCACAACCAACCTTGAAATTATTACTATTATTAATCAATGTCTAAGAAAATTGCATCTACGAAAGTACTTTTGGAACAATTAAACACTCATAAATCCTGACAGTCACGTTAATTATTAAAAAAATGATAGAATCAAACATGCTTAATGCTTTATCAAGTTTCTTAAAAATAGTACGTGAAAAAAAAATCGTGTTCTAACTACGGTCCTACGTATAAAGCTTTGATTTACCACCTTGCTACTGCGTGATCTTTAAATCCAAAGCAAACGAATACATGTTTTACGAAACATGAGCCCTAGTACTTCATATAAAACTGTGATCGTTGTGTTACTTGATCTTAAAACTGATAAGTGAATTTTACAGTGCATATACAATGTATATATAATGGTTGAATAGTGTTTGTATGACGTAAAAAGAACCTAATAAGTATTATTTCATTTTAAACAACTCAATTTGTACACATTAAATAGTAACGAACAATCACAGCAGTAAAACATCATCATAGTAAGTGGATATTTAGGACAATAGGGTGAGATGTTGTCGATTCCATGCGTAAGGTTAATTATGAAACTGAAGACTTAAAAAAATTAAACTTAACATTACTAACTACTTGAATAAGCTTTAAGTAGCACCAAAGATAATACAAATTTTAGAAAACCAATCGCAGTCATCAATCCCCGTGCAATTAAATTAATAATTCTGAATACTTAAAGTTGGTCGATCGCCTGTAAAATTCAAGACACCAACTTTTATGTGATTAGCCTCATATAAGAGTCAGTCAATAATGTATCTTATCAAACCATACCCCGTGACAGATGCTGAATTCGAACCAGTTGAAATACTATAAGAACTGTGCCAAGCGATTGAAAGAAAGTGCCTTTACAGTTTTGGAAGTTGTAATATTTCAAAAATGGACAATACATGTTCGTGGACTTAAAAACCTGGCATCAAAGTTCTAGGTACGTAGAAAATCCGACATTTGGGTTAACATCGATCTCAGTCTTTAAAAATACGTGCATAAACTGATCTAATCAACTGACCCAGACAATTAAAATGAATGAATCCCGCCACGTTATCATAAGCATAGAACTAATAACCCTGTAATTTGTACCGACAAGTATTAGCACTTTATAGTCATAGACAGAAATAGCAAATCAATATGTCACACCACTTCTGAATGTAAACCCTGGTTCCCAAATGGCACTGTATCAATATTAATCACAACAGTCTGGTCAACTCATTTTAGCAAAAAGAATCTAAGACTATTTGGAGAAGACAAAGGTGACAAATTTATAAAACGGCTTCTCGGTATGTATGATGAGTGAAGTAAGTTGATATTAACAAATCCCAAGTTGAATAAAGATATTGTAAAATAAGGTGATGAACATTTATATTTTATGATAACAGAAAATTTAGTGCTTCAAGAGGTCACGACGAACGTAATTCCAAAGTTGAAAAAATTCCGTAGAGATAAAAATGTTTTCAAACTCAGTGTTACACAAGTCATTACTGTTGTTTCAAACATCAATAAACTCATTTCCTTAGTGTGAAGGCCAGATATACTACTTGGTCTCCTTATTTGAAGTAGGTCAAACGGAGTTAGAAAATGCAACCAACTTAGTTGTATGGTTTACCAACTAGGTCACTGCTGAACAACGAACTTCAGTGGTTGATAACCACAACTAAATAATTATAGTTGAATATTTAAACATTCAATTCACTAGAAAACCAGGTGGATATTAATCAATGAGAGGGATTAACAAAACATTTTGCCGAGAAAAGGCAATATATATAATCAGACATTTATTCTGAATAAACTATAAACTGGCAAAAGTATTATGATCAGTTCTTTTAGATGAAAACTTACCTCTTCTAAAGCTGTATCAACGTCGGAATTAAACAAAAATCGAGAGCTGCCTTCGCCTACAGATTGGCAACGATTATTCGCTTCATTTAAACTATACGCAGGAGATGATGGAGTTAATTCACTGGGTGATATAACTTCATTTTCAGGAACAGAACCTAAAGGCCCAAAGGCTGGATAACCAATAGTATAACGATGATTAAACCGATGCATCACAAGTTTATCTGAATAACCGAATTCTGGTAAAGACTTTTTATCTTTAGATTCGGGAGATTCTGATGTACCATTTGGACTTCCCCTACAAATAGTCGATTTTACACCTGGATTTTAAAACAAAAAATAAAGTATGGAATACGACATTAAAATCGATGGGAAGTGAAACATTCAGTTACTTGTTATGATTAATATAAAATCCGACTCTATGTGACTACTCCATTCTAGCTTAATTAATATTGTTGTAATCAAACAACGCGTTTTGAAATGGGTCGATACACAGGTATTATCGTTTCTGAATCACAGAATGGTGTTTGAGTTTTCCGCTAGAAAGTGAAACTTTGTTATTTACTATAATTCAAATAGTGGAGCTAAATGAAACTTTATAAGCATAATGAGCCTTCTGCACTACATGCTTAACTAGATACCTACAGTTTAAAATATGAACTCGATGGTTGTAAAGTACTTAACACATGTTGAAATAAAGTCCGTCATCAGAAATGTACGACCTGGGATGAATGCTTATCGGCTCAGGTTTCCACACATCACATCAGTATATTGAAAAGAAATTAACGAGATGGAAAATAATACCGAGAATAATGGGAGTAAAAAAATTATAAAAAAAAGATTTGGAAGAAACATGTCGGATTAGAGAATATATGTTATAACTACCTCAGTCGATGAAAGTCTAACACAATCCTCTTCTTCCCTGGCACGTCGTGACTTGAAACTCAGCATAACTCATTCGGTGGTCCCATTAAAGGCAAATAATACTTCATAGATTTATATGATGAAATACATTCAATTATCTAATTTTATAATTTGATTTATACACATGATTTTAGTCTACATACTTCATTACTTTCAACTCAAACGAAACTTTTGCATCAAATGAGATGGTTACAGTATGAACTACAAATCTACTGAGTCAATCACTATCTACCTCAATACGTGTTGGCAGATGGAGTAGAAGCAGTATAATAGAAACGAAATGTATGGATGTATATTGCTCTATCGGTTACAATAATAGACTAATAACAAAGTAATAACTACGTAATTACATAAAATATTTTACCTTTATCAGAAATCTCAATCATTGAAGAATTCCCTTTGAGAATAGAACTATCGTGAATAGTTTCAGACAAGGTTATTGTTTCCGATTGATTTGATTTGTCAACTATTGAAATTGGAGTTTCAGACTGTGATAAACGATGCACTTTACTATCATTAGTATCAGAAAGAATATTTTCGTTTGAACTTTCAGAAGGACAATTCCAACTGAGTACACTACCATTTTCTGTTACACTTTTATTATCATCATCATTATTAACAGCATCGACATGATCTAAATTACTTAAACTTCCATCAATTGCTGTATATCCACTCTTTTTAGGAAGATCAATAGTCACCTCATTTAACAGATGATTTTCATTGCTGTGATTATCCTCTTCACATGCTGCAAGGTGTAATAGAGCAGCTTTCGGTACAACATATAAATGTGGTACTAAGCCACGTTTACAACTCGAATCCGAAGCTAATTGTCCTTCCCACCAATGTTGACTTAATTGACGATAGAGAAAAATCTCATCACTTTGATGAAATGATAATTCCCGTTCACTTGATCCAGTAAAATCTGCTCGAGCGACAGCTAAAGTGTACGCTGGTTCGGAATCTGTATTTTTAAATAAATAAATATATATATATATATATATATATATATATATATATATATAAAAGATATAAGTTTGTTTAAAAATACCTTAAAATGAAAAAAGTAGTTTAGCAGGAAATATTTCAACCTAAAAAGTAACAAAATATCTATGGGAATACCTTGGAAATAAATTAATGTACTCATTTACATTTAGCAACCTATCTTGTTAATCATGCAGACTAAAATATCTAAATACCAAACCCAATTAAGATGATTTTGGTTGTGGGGTTTAGTATACAAAAATATCTCCTATAATCTGACCTTCTCGGGTAATGAAAAATAAGCGGTTAACTTGAGTGTTGGAAAAGTCGATTACAAACCAGCTGTGCAAACAGACTCTAAAATCTGAAAGGAAGAAGCGACATAAAAACGTAATTTGGCCAACAGTAGCCATGGTAATGCACCTCTCGATGTCGGTCTAGTGTCCAGTGGATTATCGCTTTAAAAAAACGATTTCCTACCATTCGCATACGGGAGACATGTCATATTAATCATTATAATTACAAATACGAAACACGAACCTTCTGTTTGGTACACAAATACTCACTAACTATTCTATTATTACCATATTGTATACAGTTACTGTATTGTACCAATCACTTCTGAGGTTACAAATAATGCAACAGCTACCTTACCGTCTGACAAATGAAACCGTCATCAGTTAATTGCATTAAAACTCTAATACAACTCTACATAAATTGGTTACTTGGTATGAAATAGTTTCCGTATCATCCAATATTGTGAATAATTTATATAAACTCGAAGACCGAATATGAAATAAAATACCAAATGCGTAAAATATTAAATTATGCAAGTAACTATTAAAGTGAGTATATATTAAAAGTGAATAGTGATTCTTTTTAGGCAGCAATGTTTGTTTCTACAGAGTACAAAAAAGTTACATTTCATGTTTTAAAAAAGTGTACTATTCAGGCGTACATACACATTAGTGCAAATGCATGTCGCTCATTCTTGTACATAAATACCACATATAATTTACATGTAACATAAGATTGTTTCTATCTTGGTGAAACGATGCCATTAAATTAAAATTGAACATAGATAGAGATTGAATATACATAAATTATAACTATACATTTGTATAATTAAGTCTTAGTATATCTAAACCACTCACGTACAAAAAAACGATGAATTCATAAAAAAACGTTACATGAAGGTGGTATAGTTTATAAATGGAACATCACCATTACCGTATTATCGACATATAAAAGAAAATATAAATCGAAACGAACCTTCACTATCAGATATGGATTGGACATCTTCAGAAAACACGTAGTCATCATCTCTAACAGTTTCATTTTGCTTAGACGAAGATAATATCTCATTGTCAATTAGATTGCTATATTTTATTGATAAAAAATAACACAAAATGATAATTTTTACTTTTTAGACAATAACGTTAAAATAGAGAAAAGCAATTCTTTCTGAATATTAGTCGATTCTCTCTTCTGTTTTTTTTTCTTGGAAAAAGTCATTAATTATTGTAGTATGTTGAGAAATAAAGACATTCCAATAGACAGAAAAGTGAAAAATATTAAGAATAATGATCATTAAAATAACAACGATATCTCTCAATAATGAGAGCTAATCTTCCTTTTTCGTTGTTATAATATACAAGAGAATTATTTTAATAAAGAGAGATAATTAATAATTAAAATACAATTATGTACAAATGAATATTGGTTACTAATTAAAATGTTAATAAAATTAATGAATAAGTTAAACTATTCAAATGAAAGAAATCAAGAAATACAATTCTAGTATAAGTGAAGCAATGGATTACTATTACTGGTTAAAGCTGTTAACTTCTAATCATAAGGCTAAAGGTTCGACCTTTGTTTCATCGACCTCGGTTTGGATAGTTGTGTAATAAATATAGATTGCATATCACAAAGTATGACTCAAGGTTAAGTACATGAATTTGTACTTGATAAATAAAGTTTTACATTATTCATCATCGATTACAAAGTTTCAAATATTTTACATTAGGAACAAAAACCAATCTTAAAAATATAAGTGACTGATAAAAACAACATGAATATCAGAAATTCATCGTTTTGAAATAAATTTATATATTCCTTTAAAAACAATAACACCATCAGTACTTCTTTTCAACTAAAATCAATTTCAAACACTGATGTATGTATAAGCTAGTAATAGTGTAGTAATAACGGGTATAAAATGTGTGTATACAACAGAACAATTCTTCGTTTATATTTTAAGTAGTTATGGCATGTTTGAATTTGGTCAGTGTTCCACATTATCAAAGAAATATCATGATAATATCATAGTATTTCAACCGATATGTTTTAAAATTAATTTCATAATATTTATTGCCATTTAGTTAGCTAAAATATGTATCGACTAAGGTCAGCAATACTTCACAACAGCAGAAAAACAGTAATATGAAAAACAATGATATAATAAATCAATTTTCATTCATATAGTTTTATTGAGATATAAGGTCATCTACTACTTCTTCATAGATGAATGCATTTGTATCAGACACCAATTTTCAGCCATATCATCTGAAGTCAAGAAATACAAATCTTACAGGGTTAAACCAGGAGGTTATTGCTAATCAACACAGTTTAAACTACAGTCAATGATTTCATGGAATAATTATATATCTCTATGTTACCAGTCTCAGACTTCTTACTGAAGAGTGGATTTCTATGCAATTTGTGGGAGTTATTCAGGCCGTTTATTCATAATCTCAACTACTAAGTAACCCACAAACCGACAAAATAAAATTTCTATAACAAAACACTATTATTATTATTATTATTATTATTATTATTATTATTATTATTATTATTATTATTATTATTATTATTATTATGAGCAGAGAAGGATGATGGCTAGCATTGGAAACCAGAACGCAGGTTTCATCCTACTTGGGACTCGTCAGCTGGATGTTTACGCCGTGACGCGAACCCGTAACTGTTCTCTTCAAATCCCATCACGTCATCCACTTAGCTACGGAGTCCAGATAGCCACCAGCTTTTGTAATCAGGTGAAGCTTGATTCGTTTGTATTGGTTGTTTGAATTTTCTCACTGATGTATAGGACTACAATCGATCAATTTCTTTTCACATCAACTCTGGGACGTAGTTACATCCAAATGACGAGTCCCAAACAGAACAAGATATACATCCTAGAATGTACTGCTAGCCACCATCTATCTCTGCTTATAATGCTTGTGACTTAATTGTAATGTCGAGACGATCTGAACATGATGCAAATATGGCAAAAACAGACTGATGAATTTCAGTCCTAAGCATCGCTGAGAAGATTCAAGCAACTAATACAAATGAATTAAATATTAATATTCCATTTTTTGCTAAAATAAAAAGAAACACGATAAGATTTATTTGTTAATTAAGCAGGGACTATTATAAATTATCAAGTTATTCGGTATAGACTATTATCAACGGCATTTAATAATTAAACGTGATTGCTAATCGTTGTTTGGACCTATGGATAAGCAGTGGAGTAGAGGTAATGAATGAAAAAGTCATCAATATAGAATTTGGACGATCAAATATCCTAATATTCTACACTACGTATGTTAGCTTGATAAACCATGGAAGTCAATAAACGTATTTGTTTTTAAAACTTTTACAAGTTCATGAATAACGACGCAATTTTAGTACTAACATAACAGAGTAATTTCAGTTGGTAATAATGGAATATATATTCAAAAGCTGTGAGTGATCCTGGGAAATTCGAATCAAAGAGATAAACCTTAGGAAAAGCATGAAACAAATGTCTAATTTATATATCATAAGGAACAACTGGTCAAAATGTATCATGAAATATCAATTCTAAACAGAATTTGATAACAAAAAACCTTACCCAACACTTGATGCTTTACCACATTCCGCGGGTGAAATTTCATTATTATTATTATCATTACTCTGTACATGATCCAAATGTGTAGTTGATTGGTGTTTAACATTTAATTCCATTGAAAATGGACATGTATTATGCAAGTTTTGTTTGAATGAATTACTACTATCATCCTTAATATGTTGTTTATCAGTATTTATTTCGATAGCATTATTTGACGAAAGTGATAAACGATGTGAGTCTAAACTGGTCACAGATTTATGACTTGTAGTTTTATTATTGCTAATATTATACTTATTCTTGTTATACACAGGTCCAGGAAGCATATGATCAAAGATTACTAAATGATGTACAATGAGTAGTTTGATTAAATCAATAACACTTGATTGACAATGTAATTGATTATATTCACTTGGAATAGGGATTAATGTTGGACCAAAACAAATAGCCAAATTGTATGCATCCATCATATTCTCATTAGAATATTCAGATACACTGATGAGAAAGAAAATAAGTAGAAGAAAAATAACAAAGTGAAATTAGTATTCGTGATCAAAACTTTTTTGTACAGATCATTATTTAGAATGATAATTTTTGCAATTAAAATTATTTGCTCGTACATTATCAGTAGTTTACATGGTCACTAATAGTATACATCTAAGTTCTGTAAGTTACATCAGTTTTTTTATAGATTGGATTAACTTTCATTTAAGCTATCTATCAATGTTTAAATTTCTAGTTTTTTTCCTCATATACGCGGAACAATAATTTAACACATGAAAAAATCAATTCACTATTTATTATTAATTCGTGTTTGCCTGTAGTAATTACATAATCGCAAAAACACTAGTTAGTTGTGAACTTTTTTCCTGCTTTCCAAAAAAAAACAATCATGAATAGTAGGTATACCCAGCTGACGAGTCCGAAGTAGGACAAAACGCGAGTCCTGGATTCCACTACTAGCCACTATCCATCTTTGTATATAAATCATGAACAGTATTTCAAATAATATATATTTAGTTCAAGCAAATTGCATCCCTTTCTTTGTTATGCAATTCGAAGAAACATATACTCTTTATTAATTCACTCTTTAACAACAATAAAATACCGAGTCATCAACGTTAAAATTATTTCTTGCATGCAAATTATGATATGATGAATCTGTCGAGCTGTCACAGTCAAGTACACACTTCTTTCTCAGCTTATATTAATTTTTTTAAAGAATTATTTTATATTATTCATTCTCATTACTTAAAGGTTAAATCAATAATACAGGGGAAGTTATTAATGTATTACAACGCAACCCTTGAAACATTTTATTTGAGCCAGTAATGAAACTAATGAGAGAAAAATAGGTCATAGGGTTCGGGGCGAACGTAAAAAGTAATCAAACTCTTCACGAAAATATCGTGAAAACTAACCAATAGTTGTACAACTTGCAACATACACACAGACATACAGTAAAAAAACGCATGCTGCATACATACGTACATACATACATCCATACATGTAGTACATTATTTACGGAAATCGATTGCAATAACTAACTTTAGTTATGCAAAAAAACTATGATCATCATTCATCTTAATGGATAACCAATCGTCTACATAAATATATATGAATATATTTAACCGGATGTACAAAAAACATTACATCACACCATGAATTGTTTCATTTATGAATAACAAATAGAATACTGAATAATTAAACTAATTTAAAGAAGAAAATTAAAAACAATCATTATTATTATTATGGACCTTCTTTCTTAAAATAGAAGATAAATATTTATGAATACAAAGAATATAGTGGAATGAACCCAGTTTGTTTCAAATAACCATCATCTTGCGGACTGTGATACAATAATAATTATGTATTAATAGTAGCGGAACTGGTGGATGAAGTTATTGCAAATTATTGTTCTTAATTTTTGAATGTACTGTAAGGATTAAATAAGAACTTTCGTCTAAATTTGAACGAATAGTTTCACAATATTTGTAAGGATTGTTAAATTACTAAAATCTAGTTAGCACCTAGTTGGATAAATGGAATTCACTCAATGAGTATCTTCTTTCAAAACAATAGAATATTTTCGTGTTTACTAATAACGACCATGTCGAGTGTGAGACAGTTATCCACCGCAGGCAACGGAAGACGGTCGAGCAATATCACGAATCGATTAAGGTTATACATATATCATTGAGTGTCGATTTACTGGTCTAGAGATCAATAGTTTGTGGATGAAAAACATGTGTCCAGTATTTCCCGGGTTTTAATGGTGCTCTAGCCATCAAGAGTTCGTGATTTAAACTCTGAAAATTCTACAATCTCCACAGATCCTGTCGCGAAAACTAATAACAAATCAATGTAAAGCTGTACTTCTATTGAAACAACCCACAACCATAAGTACATTTATGATGGGCGCCATTATGATTTGATTTTGCATAATAAATGTGCAGCTAACATTTGAAAACTTGCTTCTTAACTTAACAGATTAATTAGATTAACATTCAAATACAACACTACATCAAAATAATTGCGATTCAGTTATTGTAAGAAAAGAAGTAAATTTCAAGTGGAAAACATCCTACAGAAAAAATAATAAAAACACTGATCATTTATTGACCTATTTAAAGCATTTTGCTCGTATCTTGATGTCGGTATCAATAGAAAAGACAATCAAAAGTTTGAATAAAGGAAAAATCAGTCACAATTCTAACGAATATTTTGAAAAATTAACTAGACTACATTTATAGATATTTGCTATAATGTAATAGAGATTCTCCTTACGAACTAATATGAAGTGTAAAATCATTGACAACTATGAAGCCTTACACAACAGCTGCTTTACTTTACCCTATAACACCTCAGTTTTAATTACTCGCAACCATTGTACACAATGTAGGACTTAACGATTCTTCAACTGACGTCAGGATACCATGAAAATTGTTTTCGATTTGTTCAAAAACTTTACAAAACAGCATAGTTAACTATAATCATGCGCCGTCTACTCACAACTTGCATCTAGGTGAATTTGATGAAGTTTCAGTGACATCCTGTAGCCTATAAAATCTGAAGTGGCATACTATCGTCAGATAATCAAGTTGCATGGTTACAATTTGACTGACGTTAAAATGGATTATTGAATTTTAAAGCACTGATCAAAAGTTATCGTTGATAACACCATAACTGAATAAAATGGGTTTTGGTTTTAGTGGAGTTGTAAGTGTACACTGTTAAGTTATCCAACTTGTTTGTATGAGTCAGTTCACATATTTTCTCAAATGTATAACCTGAATGCATTAACTTGTTAAATATTCATGGCAGTTCTGTTGATTGTTTGTTCGAAATGAAATTTATGCTATGTAGCTTTTCACAGCTTCAAAAATATTAATCACTAAGACAATTCTAATTGCTTTATTAATTACCAGTTTGATAACCAAAGTTTAGTGATAACACTTTCGAGTTATGCAACTTAAGATTGATATAATTATTGGGTTTTTTCATACGTAGAATGGTTTTCGATAATGAATTATTTTTACTCTCTCTCTCTCTAGCAGCTTTGATTTTACTAGAGTGCTGTAGTCGAGTGTTCATTTTCACATAAAATTTCATCTCGCTCATATCTTTTATTATTACAGTTTGACTATGCTTACAGCTTTTTGAAATACAGATTTTCCTCCGATATCATATTTGTTTTAATTATTGTTTTATAATCCTTTAGTCAACTGCCACTAGTCAGTATAAGATCAGCATGGAGTTGTCGAGATTTTCGAATTTCCTTGAGATCATGAACTGATCAATGTTGACCACCTTTGAAAACCTGGAAACACTATACTGCCATTTCGTCGCAGTATGGGACTCTTGAGTAGTGAGCATCCATGACCCCGCACGCAGGAGTCGAACCCGGAACCTCCGGTCTCGCAGGTTTAATGGTTTCGATATTAAGAATTTACGCACGAGGACAAATGTTATGGGTTCAATTCCCACGTACGGACGCGGGTGCACACCTCTGAGGATCCCCACACCAAGGCGCAACGATCGTCCAGTACCTCCAGGTTTTCAAAGGCGGTCTAACATTGGTCGGTTTATGATTTCAATGAGATACAACATAAGATCGTTTAGTAGAAAATAATAGCATGATATACATACACCTTGGAAGTAATAGTATTTTCTGTGATAGAAATCACTTTTTAGTCACTGATTAATATTATGATTACTTTTATTGCCATTATAATTTCACATACACGCAGTATCACAAAAGTAACATGACTGACAACAGACCACCTCACAGGGACATTTATTCACAATATTTGCTCGCGTAAAGTACAGTTCAGATTGTAGATGTTGTCTATTATTAAATATTTTATTATTCTATACTATCTCTAATCAATAAAACATTAACTATGACAATATTTGTAAGTTTAATAACGTATGAGTGTGTCCATTCATGCAACAACTAGTATGTATTGTTAGTACTCTGACTGTTAGGCATTTATATGTCTTTATGGTGTAAAGATGCGTGTGCCTGTATATGTTGATGTCGGACGTGCATTTAAATTTTTTTCAACAATTATTTATTGTCATGTATTAACAAGTTGTAATGTTGTAGTGTAAATGTTATTGGTAAAGTTTAATTCATTGTGTATATACTTGTTTATATATTAAATCAATTCCGATAGGTAAACAACCACATTTCATTTTATATGTAAATCTATTCAATTTAATTTCCTTGATATATTCACTGTGTCCAATCATTATTATATGAAAAGAAAAATCTTATGAAACACATTGTTTATAAAACACCGTCGATATCATTCTCATACTTTGCGTTCTTTGAATGGGAAAACTATGATCATTTAAGCATTAATCATATATTGGTAGTGAAGACTACTGATTATAAATATTTATTGCTATACTCAAAGTTTATTTCTAGGGTAGCTAAATTTGCGGTCCATATGTTATACTTTACGAATTCGATACTTGGTAGATTCGATTCAATGAAATAAACAATTTAAATGTTTACCAGTTGTTATACCTGTCAAATCCCATATTTCTCATCGAATTTTGTCGATCATCAATGTTTATCTTGAAATGACATCAATTAAAAAGCCAGTTTAAATAGTGCAACTCATTAACAATGTACACATTTATAAATACACAATGAATTAAGCTCATGATCCTCAGATATCATGACAAGCAAGATTAATTTTGATTATTGAGTTGAAATTGAATGGTTCATATTAACAACGTTGCCCAATACATAAAAAAGTACAACAATTTGATGTTAAAGCCGAGTTACTGCCTGAATGCTGAATTTACAGGTCACAGAATGTCACTGAAATCTGACCAAATTGACCTAGTTTACGTTGTTTTTGTGGAGGGTTTTTACATATTTGAACTAATTTTAATGGCATGTTGAGATCAGTTGAAGAATAGTTCAGTCCAAATCTGTGTATGTACGGTAATAATGTTTATGCCTAGCGAGGTTTCATTTGTTTTGTAAATTACACTAGTTTGTAAAGAAAATTATTTACACAGTGAAAAATCATTTGAAAATGACTCGTTTTAACAGTAAAATTACTGATGCTCAAATGAAAATTCACATGGACCAATAAGAAGTTAAAATTATCATTATTTCAATGGTATCGTTGAGTAACTTTCATTCAAATAATCATAAACAAACGAAAATTTATTGATTGTCTGAAAGCTTAAATCACCGTCATTTATAATTCAAAACTAGTACTGCTTATAGTGTATATAACATGAGGTAAGCCCGGGACGAGAAAAAATTTTTCGCTGAAGATTGAAGTCTTCTGATATTATTTAGCATATAATAATTAGTGAAAATAAAAACTCCGAACACTAAGATAACATAATAACTTACTGATTCAAAAATGCGAATAAATATCTCATTACAACAAAAACTGGTCTACTCAAATTTTCTGTGATCACATGACGTAAGCGTCGAATCATTTCACTGATTTCCCGATCTGACAAAAGAAAATGATGGTGAGAAAAAGCAATTAACAATGATTACAGAGACAAATAAAAACGTCCATAAATAAACAACAGACTTTAGATAGTTGTAAGTAGTCGACAGAAAAACCCTAGACAGAGATCTCAGTGCAAGTTGGCACTCATCAGCAAGGAGCACCGCCAGTCTTGAGTGAATTGATGTTCGCTGCAGAATTTAAACCCGCATCATCCGACTTCACAATCCGATACTTAACTATTGACCTATTCGAATCGCGATTGACCACTAGTAAAACTGTGGTATTTACAGTTGATTGGTCGATCATACATATATTATATATTTCTATTGTATAGTTCCTAATAGAAGCATCTTTCGAACAAAACATGAGAACACAGATTCTTCCGATTAGCATTTCATTGTCAAATGATTTTGTAAGTGTTACGAAGCAATAAAAGTAAATGACTGATGAGAATGCTTAATTAAGCTTTAGACTGATTGGAAAACCGAAATTTCAGTTTGGAAAACAACTCTGAAAAATTCCTCATGAAATAGAAAATCTTTATTTCATTCAAAATTTGATGTAACATGATCGATTTGCACTTCCAAGTAGTTACGTCACATTACAAATGAATATCTTTAAGCACGTTTACCAGATTGCTTTAAAGGTATGAAGATAGAAGGAAGTTAAATTAATGGTGAAAACTCCATGTTGTGTTAACAAGCGGCGCTAATTGTCTACAAGAAAAGTTTAATTTCACGGTAGTACAACTAGAAAGCTCACTTCTACATGAAGTAAGCTTTGGTGGCGTTGTCTAGAGCGATAACGAAAGCTCAACAATAAAACCATATAGCTAAGTGAATTATATATATATATATATATATATATATATACCAATAGAGTTTAATAACCTGGGCGAATACACCACACTACTGTGTAAGGTTCCACTTTGTTTCTGACAAATGATACGGATAGAAATAAGAGCAAATCAATGCCATTAGTAAACTGACGAGGATTTGAATAAGCTTAGAAAATATATTTGTGTTGGATATGTATTCTTTACACTTTATCAATGATTCGCCTTGACCTAATTTTTTGAACAGTTTACTATTTTATTAACAGAGCATTATAATTGCTAATGCCAATAGAATTTTATGTAATGGCCATAGTTATTCACCTCACATATCAGAATATAAATTAAGCAAGAGATTTCAGGTCAATTGTTTTATTAAAAATAGTAATTTAGAGTATTAACGAACATTAGTAGAGAAATTTCCGTTTGTGCAATATATTATTTTATGTTAAGAAAACTAAATGACCTGCTCTTATTAAATGATGTGTATAGCAACTGTTTTATAAGCAAATCAGTGACCCAGTTCATGAACTCATTTTTCGAGCCAAACACGTTTTGTGAGAAGACTAATTACCATCACTTGATAAGCAAAATTAAAATAGATCGAGTAGGGTTCGAACCTGTATCTACGTAGATAAAAGTTGATTTCTTTCATGGCTTATTACACATGGACATTTTGTTACCATGCTTGTATAAAATATACTAATCATGCAACTCATAGCATTTGGCTGATCACTGGATGGTGATCAATGTCATGTATTTTAGATCCTTCTTAAGGCAGATCAAATCCTACCGACCAAGTTGCAAAACGTCAATTCCATAGATAATAATACATTGTTTGAATGACTAGACACATACTACATAAACATCTAATCGAATTCGTTTACAGCTGGCTTACTTGCCTATTTCATAATCGTCGCATTACGACTAAGCATTTAAAGACATAAACATTACAACATACAATATAATTAATTCTTATAGTTCAATTATGACAATGAGGTAGAGATCAAAACTCGTATGTAAAATATATTCATCATTATATATATATATATATATATATATATCATTGTTTATAAGTCACAATAAAGCCTATTTAACTCGTTGAGGTATCAATGAGATTTTGATAGCTGCATAAACAATCGTAAACAGTTTATGGTCAACGGTATGCACATATTTAAATCAACTAGGTTTAAAACAATGACTTTCAATAGTCCAATTATTTCATGCAATTGGTTTATGCTACACGCTTAAATGAACCAAGAATAACAATGCATGCGAATTTTCGCAAAACACATTACCAATCTCGGTTTGCTTATATTTGTGATGAGGATAATTTATATGTAATTTAAGAGAAAGATTTGCGGGTTATGTAATACAGTGGAATATTTGACTTCGTGACAGTATGAAGTTACGTACGTAAATCAATGAAAGTTATCATACCCCATTAGAACAGAGAGATGAAGTTGTCAAACCAAATCCCAGAATAGTAAAAGTGGTAATAGTGTTAGCAGTAATAAGGAAGGTTATGCATCAAGGATATGACATGAAAAGAAAATATAATTTAGTGAAATAAAAACAAAAATAGTTATCAGGAATTTAGAACCTCAAGATTGAGAGGGGAACAAAGAATGGATGCACTTACACCATTGCAAACGATTTTGGACTATATCGTTCAAAGTATCTAATTATCACCTGGATCCCAACCGAATAAATTGTACCTAATAATATGGCTCAGTCCAATTGTCAGTGACTTCATGGACTGATGTCTTGTTTTGGTTTGGCCGCCCCGAACTAATCCTGACGAGCACCACTTGAAGTAACCGATTCCAATGATAACTCACCAACAGTGTTCGCGTACAAGATTAGTATACTTCTTTGGTACACCTTCCAATAACAGGCATTGCTACAAGACCTCACAACCAATAGAGTCGAATCCCCCTTAAGGTTAAGGGATACAACTATTGTCAGGCGTCTAAAAACACGTCTAGGTTTCCAAACCCGCTGAAGGGCAAATATTTAATCTACACACCCACGCCCAAGTCTGGAACCAGCTCGGTTTCATCAGGTTAGCTCTTCACGAGCTCTACTTAGACGTCGTAGTATTATCGAGGCTAATATTTTAGGCTATATTAGTTAAATTGATTTCTTTGTGATTGTTGCAAGAGGATTTTGTCCCTTCTCATGGACTGGGACCAGTCAGTTGGGATCACATTCAGTCACCGGATTTTAGCTACGATCTCAGTTAATCTAACTAATAGAATTGAACCACTACTCTTAAAAATCTCAGGGGTTGGTCCAGCAGACAGATAGAAAACTCCACATATTTTAACAAATCATCAATGATTTTAGGTTGCTTACAATTGTCTATACTCAAGATTGACGAAATCCTCACAATTATCGATGATGTTAAGAATGTATGGTACTAAAAAACAAATACTAATTAACTATGTTTAGTCTTTTTCAAATATAATGTTCGTAACTAGGCTGATTGGGGTCTGATTTCGCATGATAAGATTGAAAGTTGTCCTCAATAAACCCACCTCAGTGCAAGAATTTTGTGATACATGCGAACAGACAGAAATTCTTGTGATGTAATAAAAATGTACCATTGAGATAATGAACTTTCTAAGACTTTTGGATCAATAACTAATGCACTAACCATTTTCCAGTTCAAAGTATGTATTACATATCATATATATCGAGTACGTTCATAACGTTTAACAATATTTAAAACACAAGTGGTCCCACCAACAAACATATAGTTGTATATGCATTTCACGACTCCTCTCGTTTATTAAAGGGTTTGTCTTGCTCAAAAAGGCATTCTTATTGGATCGACCGATGCAGTCACGTGATAACCTATACTTTGAAGAACCATTGTTAGAATCCACCTTAATGAGTGATGAATATCATAGTTAATAATCTACCTACATAACAATGTTCACCTACATTCACCTTTTCAAGGTTTTCTCTTACTTTTAAATAAACGTGTTGACAAAAATTGTGTTTTAAATACATTATTTGGGAAGTTACAAACGTTTGACGAATAAAGAAATTACATTTTTGTTAGCATCTTAGTAACTGAACAGAATCATCACGGTTAAAGAGAACTGGAAAAACCACAATGAACAATAATATTGGCGTGTGCACAGAGTTATTAGAAACAGCATATTTCAATAATTATATATATATATATATATATATATATATATATATATATATATATATATATATAAGCTTACTTACGTTTACGTGTTATGTCTATAAGTTCTAAGAAAATGGTATCTGGAAATGGAGGCTCGCCTAGTTCACGAAAATATAATTTTAACAGACTAGCAGTTGAATTTATATCTCTTGCCTCATGAATACCAATCAGAGGGTCATCCCCATTTTCAAAAGCATCTTTAAAGTCATTAATTTCTGCCTGACTACCAGAAACACGAAATACACCTTGTTGATGCATTCCTGAAAATTAAAAAAAGACTGAAATAAGAAATGCACAAAATACAATGAAAATTGAATGATATGTTAAAATTTCAAAAACGAATTAGACAACATTCTGTATGGGCTAGGTAACTCGTAAAAGAGTATAATACATGTAGTTAGTTATTGGTATTTTGTCGAAAATTTGACATTAAACTTGGTAAAGACGATTCACAATAATCACCAACATTTTATTGCGTAAATATTTGGCAGTTAATACAGAATTTAAATTAAAGAATTGTGCAATAGGATTCCGACTAAACCTGTTCACGAGAACTAGATATACACCATCCAATTCAACTGAACTATTTAAGACAAACTTCGAAGCAATTAACCGATCACATAAAAACTACCACACTGTACCGAATATTTAATAATATTAGGTGGTTGAAGGTAATCAGTAAGAAAACTATTGGCGTAGAATATGCGAGAGCTCTCACTAATCAATATCAATCTCACGTCAAATAACGTCTACATCATAGGCGAACATTAATTTGTTTGGGTCATGATGTTTACACTGAGTAATAACTAATGACAGTTCTACTTCACAGTGTAGATAGAATTTTACTGCATAAGGGATGTATTTACAGGACTAAGTAATTCAATATAATAGTGCAGATTGCTTTGACTTTAATTCGTTAAAATCAATCGTAAGAATACTCTGAATTAACTTATTGAGATGGTTGGGACTTTATAACCAAGATTATAATGTTTATTTTCTAAACGATATCAGAATGGGAATTACGTACATAGATTTTATGTGGTGGCATTACTTTCACCTCGTAAGTATGAAGTTTAATAATCCTGGCTTTATTCCCATGTCAAAAGTTTAGTACAACATACATACCAAAAACAAACGTTTTATGTTAGAATTAAGACTCAAAAGATAATTCTGGATAAGAACAAGAAACCCATGATTGGGAATGAAGGAAACTTTTAGAGAATTATACTGTTTAAGGGTTACATATTAATGTGTTGATATTCAGCAATATTCTTATTGATTATAAATAAGTAGATAGTTTTTTTGTTGAAAAGTAAGTCAGACAAAAACAAACTTGACAAGTACATAAACTAGGGAATATAAAAGAAATACTATGGTAAAGAATCCATTAAAATGTAACCATGGTAACATGAATTATTACTGTCGATAATTAGTCAATACAGTGATCATTTGAATAGAGTATGACTGAACTCTGATAAAAATCAAAATTAAAAAATATGATTACAGTTGACTGGATTTGCATTGTAAGTGTTTTGTCAGAAGATAGTCCAAAGTAATACAGAACCCAAAGATACATATGAAATGGTAAAATTTGTCACATTACATCAGGACAAAAGCGATGAAATTCATTTCATTATGCTGATATAATGTGATGCAGTGAATATTAAATAGGTAGAAGTATAAGTGATAGTAAAAAGATAACCTCGACTGGAAAATTTCCACTTTAATTTTTAGATTGAAATCTGCACATGTTTCTGCATTTCAATCTACTATCTGTCTACCAAGTTATTCATCTCAAATCTAGTCAACGATGACTAAATAATTGCACACATACATACAAAACAATAATAACTGAAAAAAGTGTCAAGCATCCCTAAAAAGATAGTAGTATAATCAGCAGTAACAAACCAAGGAGAAAATGTATTACAGTATTAAATCAATTCAATAAAAAAAATACTTTGAATGAAGCTTCAAATTGTAAACAGTGTAGAGAAGACATCTAGTTGAACACAGACATTTACAAGTAAAATAATGTACTTCACCGACTACAACATCCTGACATTTCAAACTTTTAAAATATAATACACATGGTGAATTGACTACTGATAGTTAATATTCCAACAATTTTCTTACAGAAATACAAACACAAACACTCACTTTTTGGTCATATCATAATGACACATCTATTTGTTGAGAAAATAAACAAAAAATTATTCTTCGCATGAAGAAAATTTTCTTTCTTTTTAGGACTTAATGATGACAGACGTGAGCACGCATACACATACACACAGGTAGATAAAATTGTTGTTTATATCAACCAATTTAAGACAAAAGAAGATTGATGAACGAACAAAAGAAATTTACCTACGGATTGAATAAAAATTGAATTTTATAATAATAATAATAATAATAATAATAATAATAATAATAATAATGAACACAAATTTATTTTTAAAATAACAATTAAATATCCTCTCAGATCTCTCTACTTAAGAGATCAAGTGGAAAGAGGTTATTTATGCAAGCCGACGAAAAATTAACGATACTAAATAACAAGAAAAATCAGAATACTATTTTCAAAAGGGAAAGAAAATATCAAAAATTCAATAATAATAATAATAATAATAATAATAATAATAATAATAATCTTTAATAAATAGTAGATGGAAAACGAACAGATACACATTGATAATCTAAAACAGATAATGAAAGCTTGATTGATATATTCAGTTGGATTGTTTAATTGATACCATCTCTAGTAGTTAATTAGCATTTAGAAAAGAAAGTTAATAATAAAATGAGATTAATGGATCATATCTCTTTTTCTCTCTCTCGCTCCCTCCAGTTATGAATAAATGATAAACACAGAAAGAACGATGTATTCAATATAATATCATTTCTGTTTAATTGGGTGGTTTACGAACATTTGTTTAATTTTACAGATACTTTTTGTAATAAACCAAAATTGATCAAACTATTTTAATGAAAAGTGTTAAGGAGAAAAGAAAAATGTTATTCAACCCAACAGAGCCAATTAGTGACAACGTAGAACCTGGTACGTATATACATCGGTTCAAGTTGCCGTACCTCATTAGCACACCAAGATGAAAATGTCAGGAAAAATCTATGAATAACAGCGGAAATAAAAGTATCAGTGGTAATAGCAAAAATAAGGCATAAAAGAGATAACACGCAAAGAAAATATAATTTAGTGAAATAAAAACAAAAACAGTTATCAGGAATTTAGAATCTCAGGATTTGAGATGCACCTACACTATTGCAAATAATTTTGAACCATGTCATTCAATATATCTAACTATTGGTTACGATGATCACCCGAACTCCAACCAGATAAACTGCACCTAGTAACATGGCTCAGTCCGATTGTTAGTGACTTCATAGGGTGATGTCCTGTTCTGGTTTGGCTACCCCTGGATTCATCATAGCCTACCTTTATGCCAGAAAACACTGTCTGTCGAGGTAGGAGGTCGTTGGACATACCTAACACATGTCCCAACCGCACCTAACAGCGTACAAAGATTTTTACTTTTAAAACTCACCATATTCATTAATAACACGAATGCAAGATAATACAATACGAGGGATCGGTTGCTTAGTAGCTTCTACATATTCATCTATGGTACCACCAAACAGTTTAGGTTTGCCAACATTCGGTACACGAAGGACACGACGGGCTTGATGCTTACTGACTAGAGTAGATTGACTTCCAGAATGGCTGGAAAATGAAGGACTTGATACAGGTGTTGATGTTACATCACAATGAGATGATGATGCAAGAATAGGTGAATTAAAAGAATCTTGATGAAAACTTTGTGAAGTAAAATTAGGAGCAGGTGGTGGAGGTGGAGGTGGTGATGATGAGAAACCACTATCGATTTTCGAATGACTAGAAGTTGATGAAATTGGAGATTTGAGATTTTTTGTAAAGTCTTTATTATATCCAGGTAGTTTTGGTAAAACAGGTATACCATGTCGAAGCATAGATTTCAGGTTTTGAGAAGATGGCGATGTTTGAGGTATTGATTCATGTGAGTTTGGTTGTGAAGAAGCTAGTGCATTTTGAATTTGTGCAAGTTTCACTTGCATTAATTGACAAATATGCATTTCTTGGGTATAGTGTGCAAATCTCTGACAAAAAAGTAACGAAAAACAACATTGTGGTTTCAGGAGAAATATATAATAAAAACAACTTGACAAACATGAATAGAAATCGCATAAATACCATATAGTCGATTACAACACAATAATTAATAGCAAACATAAAACTGATATGAAATGACATAGACATGTACGCTTTCAATAATAACACTGATTTTCAAAGACTCTAAAAGTGAAGTTCACAAATTACTACAATGAAAAATGAACTTCACATAACTATGAAATAAAAAAACATAGCTCCTGGAGATCACAACAAAATAGGAAGAAAAATAAAATGCTTAGTCTCCCTCATTTTCTTTGTTAATTTCATTTAGTAAACAAAACATCACTGGGAGAAATTCTAGAGTAGATATACACAAAGAACACTGAAAATCTTATTTTCACCAAATAAATCAGTATTAGATTAACTGTAATTGTAATGAACGCGAACTCAGGTGGATATAACCAAATTATTGTTTAATGCAAAATTACAGCGTGGTTACACTAAAATATGAAAATCATACATTAAATACATAATTTGCACATCTCCCAATACTTGTCATTTAAGTGCTTCATGATTCTTTTAATTCTGCTGTTATTACAAATGTTCTCAGTTTACATTCCTGTTCTCTCCAATTCAATCTGCTGACAGACATTTTACATCTGATTGGCGGCTACATACTACTTATATCTGTCTGCATAAGTAGAATATACCGCATAAATTTTTAAACAAAATGTGTAATTTTAAATATTTGGACTATTGAAAATTTACAAGTTTCTGGCTAGAAACGATTAGACAATTTAATTTATCTCAATTTTGAGACCGATTATCAAATTAATATTAATAGACAGTTATTAATATATATTCTGTACACATAATGAAAATAGAATTATTTAAATATAATAAATAGATAAATGCTGCTATGAAAAGATCTTGCTTAATTATTTATAAGAAGTACATCATTGTATACACATTTGTTAAACTGAGAAGTAAATGTGCTTGGCATAGACACTGAATAATTCAGACATTTAACTTTCAAATTGATAGGTTATTAATATAAAACCTTTTCTACGTCCCTACCACAATTAGAATAATCGAATGACATTGTAATTATTGAATTTCATATTGAAAAATATGGTTTAACATTATATACAGCCGTATAGATAGGCTTAATTAAACATTCCACTAATAAATAGGTTGCATTTATAGCAGACTGATTCAAGTTGAAATATCATTGAAAATCAACACAGTATAACACAATTAAATTTATGATAGCAATGTTATCCAACAAAATACTAACAATAATTTTGTTTTGTATGATATTTAAATAGAACAAGGTCGAAATTTCAACATGAAATATTACAACTACTTAGATAGTTATATTGTAGTCGTGTAGTATAACCAGTGCTTTTACGAAATGATCTGCAAATCAGTATTTACGAAGACTGAAAAAGTCAAGTGGAGAAACCCATTTCAGTTTAAGATCTGTTGTTATATCATTAACTAGATGCTTCATGTTAATTTTTCAGTTAATAGAAATGACACCAGGTCATAAAGAATGTAAATAGATACTATGGCTGCTACTTTGACGTGGTGGTCGGGTTCGCCTATCTGGATGACTCGACCGAACTCTATTGGACGGAATGCAGGATTCTTAAAGTCCTACTATGCAAGGGAGGTCTGTTGAAGAACTTTAACACTAAAAGCAGTAAACTCAAGTGGTGGTAAGGCCGCCTGAAGCGCAGAGATAACAAACCAAAGAAGTTCCACAAAAAATTCATGCGCGACCAGCCCTAAGCAGTTTTCTTCGAGCTCTACAGTTACGCCCCCAAGTCGTTAAAATCACTATTAATCCAGTTTCCTCTTCAGGTCCCTTAAGAAGAAATATCCGTCCACAGTGTGTGCAACCAGGAAGTGAAAACCACCTTCATACCTCTAAAGCACCCGAGACCACTTTATTCACAATCAAATCCCTCCCCCACCTCTGATTAAATATAAGTAGAGTGCGATGCATGGGACATCGCTGATAAACTAAAACACGATATTCAAAAAGATGTATTATTTGAATGGATGAAATGTAGTCAGTCATGAAATTTCAAAAAGGTCACCTTTCAGACTAATCAATAAAAGCTCAATGTTTACATTACAGATTTCCTACAACGTGTCAATGTTTCCCAATTGTTAATTTGTGTTTAGATTATCCAAAGATCTAAAAAAAAAACTCAAACTAGTGATTGACATGAGAGGCTTGGAACTAGTTATATATATTGAAAGGTAGGACAAATTTAAAGTGGAACATGCTTATCTTAATGCTATCTAATGGCATCAGCAATATCGTCCAACTAAGCATTTACTTCAAATATGCAAGAAATGTCCTAATCACAGAACTTCTTAAACAGTTAGGGGAGACAAAGATAGACAGACAGCTATGCCTATCTCCAGACCTCTTATCAAAACCCAGGGTCTTAAAGCGACACTATAGATGAGTCATGAATCTAACTAACATACCATAAAATGACCTCAAAATTAACCACATACACATAACAAGTGACAAATGGAGTGGTACAGAAGACCAGTCATAGTAATAACAATAATAGTCATGGCCACCCTCATAAACAGTACATACCTACTTTTTCTATTCAAAATAGTGAAAATTAATAGATTATCCAACCTTTATTCGTATTGAACAAGTATTAAAAAGAGGTGACAAGTCATGTTTATAACTAAGGCTGTTGTAGTCACAACAAATTATAAACAAATAGAGATAAACAAAAATGACTCATTGCTGTGATGCAAAATCTATGATATACAACATTATTTATCAGAAAAAAGCCTTAAATATACAAACTTCAATAGCAAGTGCTAGGCTATTTCAAAATGATTAGAAAGGTGAGTATTCCTACAACAATAACCAGACAACTTGTGATACGTATGAAGGTTGAATAGTTAGGCCAATTTACAGATGAAGTGGAAATTCTTGATCTAATTAGTCATTTAGTGAAAATGGCAGTTTCTGAAACACTAATAAAACTAGAGATAGTACACATAAGTGACTTACTCCATATTGAAGGAACTATATATCGTATACACGAATGGAGGCGTTTAACGTCAATCAGTCAGTCGCAACGTAAAACCTAGGACATATGTACATCTATTGAAGATGCCATAATATATCACTGACACGGAGTTAAAATCCTTAAGCTAAGTCCCAAAGTGAAAGAGATAGTAACAGTACCAGTGCTAATAGAAAATATTAGGCCTTGAAGATACGACTCGACAAAATACAAATTAGTGAAACGAGAAAAAAAATCGTGAGGAATTCAGAGGCATATCTTTAACACAACGCGCCACCGATGCTAATGATTCGAGGCTTTTCATGATTTGCAATATGAAATCATTCTGAGATAAAACCCAAATTAAAAAATCAATTAAACTGTCCAATTCTACTTACATCTAAATAAAACTTCTCTTGTTCAATTCTAGAATCACGAAACAATGACCTGAGACGAAGATATAAACCAGCTTGAGTTGGATCGTTCCCACCAAACGTAGTTGAACCTGAATGATTAGTCTGTGAAACAGTTGATAAATTAGAAGTATCCTGTAAACTACTGTCTTGATTCACGATAGCTGTTGAACTAGGCAACAAACCAGGGCTTGTACTCCGGCCACTTGTAGATAATATCTGTTGATTAGAATGTACATTTGCAGCACAGATTGTACCAGGAGAAGAAGACGAAGATGAAGTAATAGAACCAGTTCCAATACTACCCATACTACTTCCTAAAGGGTTAGAAGTTGTTAAGTTATTCGATACACCAGCCGAAGCACCACCACCAACACCAACAAGTGAACGTCTTGAACGAGGCTTTTCAATGCAAAACAACCGTGAGACATCATAGTCTTTCTGATTAATTAATTCTAATAACTTCTTTTCAACCTAGAAATAACAAGATTTAAAAAATGCGGTTACAATTAATGAGATGCAAAACTATCAGCATAAAATCAATAATGAGTATCGTACCTGAATAATATAGAGAAAGTATAGCTAATCATATGTGAAAAATTGTAATTAATTAATTAATTTAGACTAGTTTGAAATAAAAATTTAATGAAAGTCAAACAGAAGTAGTTAGACGGTAATAACAAAAATGATGTTAGTTGCCAGTTTATAAAGATCGTTACTCAAAATCATGTATTTCAGCTGCGATTGTCCATTAGGTAAAAACATGTAGTAATAAAATTTAGTAATAAGACAGTAAATATTCTTGAGAAAAATTAGAATTAGAATTCACAAGTTTAAGTAGTCAACTTAAATTTTAAAATGGCGAGTTTGAGATCCCTCTATGTAATTCGGTCTAAGATCTTGGTTATAATCTCTAACATTTATCCTGTGCCCAACCTAAAGCCTCATATGCAAACTTAAATTTAGTTAAGTCGCAGATTGAAATAACATATATAGAATCACGAAGATTCGCGATCGTATCAAACAATTTGCTATCTTTATCTTTTATCTTAACCCTGACTTCAGTACTACACATCTGCTAGTTCTACAATACACGATCAACGCTTAGAAATCTATAATAACACCTTCAAAAACCCATATAATGCATGTGATAAACATTCAAGTATAATTATCCTACTAATTATATCTAGAATATTGGTCGCTGTCATACAATAGATAGTGGAAACCGAATGATTTCCAACTAAATTTCTAATTATTTGGATTATCCCGTTATTTATATTTTGACTGAAAACTGATCAGTCTTGGCTGGTACATTTGGATTCTTTGTGGATTGCTTTGATATGTCCATTACGAAACGTTCAAACAGACTACATTCACATAATGCAAGTATGCTAATACCGATCAAGTTTCAATTAAAATACTAACAATGGGATAATCTGAACAATTACAAATTAAGAATCGGTGTCCGAGAATACTAAGCAATAGGAATAGCTGGGTCATTAACCGTAAGAAAATAGAGTTATAACAGTGGCGACGGGGAAAAACTAAAGAAAAATGGCGATTTCTTTAGAACAGTTGCGGTTAATATTACAGCACCAGCAGAAATTGTTAGCCTTGCAACAACAACTATTGAACACACTTTTCACTCGACCAGAAAATAAGAAATCTGTTTATGATGCAGTAACAGACATTTCAGAAGCATATCTAGTGGAGGGTTCAAATCCCTTTATACCTGAATCAGAACGTAATATTTGTAACGTGTCCGGCTCACAGCAAGAAAATACTGTGCTGAATGCACATGAAGTTGTGACAATACCAGATGATCAGGAGCCAGGTCCTGTAGATGAAGCCCGGAGTCCAGAATCAAATGAAACACTACTGGTACTGTCTAGCTGCGAAAATAAACGTCAGCTCGAACAAAATTGTGGTCCACGTGCTATTAGTCGAGAAAGCTATGGTGACTCGTATTCAGAAAATAACTGGAGCAACACGATGAACCAAATAGTACCAGATGTTACTCAAAATCACCGGAAGACAGAATTTTATATTGAGTCAACTTATCCCATTTCTAATGACAGTGTACCAGATATTGATTCTCAGAATAATGCATATGATTTTGATGAACCTTCTTATAACAATGAGGGAAATATGTCAGCTGAGTCGAATGATGGCCAAAAATCTAATCTAATTCTGTTAGACGTTGACTTTCTTAATGACTCGTTATCAGCTAACGAGATTCATAATGAATTTGAAAATAATGAACTCAGATCAAAGGTTGTTCATCATCATCTAGTCATTTTTAGTGGATTCTCCAGTCAATACGAGAAACATGGTTTAAATAAAGTCCTACTAGTTATAATTTGGAGCCATAAGGACCCAACATTATTTCGAGGAGGAGGAGAATGTTGGAGAATTAAAAGTTATGCATACTTTTTTTTAAGAAAAATCAAACACTAACATTCACACTCGTTGTAAAAATGAGTGGTTATGTGGAGTTGGTAGCTAAGTGGATAACCCGGTGACCCCTGAAGTAAAAGGTGAACGTCAAATTTTTGATGGAGGTACAATCAGCCGACGAGTCCGAAACCAGACGAAACATGCGCCATGGATTCTACTGCTAGATAAATCCCATCCATTCTATATAAACATCGGGTTTCATGATTGTATCGATAAAGGATTTACTCCCTGCCCCAAGACAGAATCTCATTCACACGGTTTTCAAACAAACAACCACTGCCTTACTTAACATCATGACCGCCTTTTAATTATTAAACAAAACGGATTTTTAAACTCATCTTTGAAAAAAACGGGTCAAAAAAGTTTGGCGATATTCCGAACATCCTTAATAAAAACTCCATCAGACTAACAGAAGCACATTATCTTATCGTCATCTTAGATGGTGAAGCGTTGTTCAAAAGCTTTATATTTTCCCCGTATGACAGTCAGATAAACAATAAAACGAAACTGATCCCATATTATATATTCCACTTTCAATAGGTATGTGGACAAACAAATAAAGGTTCTGACTATAACGTGCAATAAAGAAAGAAAAAGCTAAACTCAACGTTATGGTACAATTATAATGGAATATCTAAGTGAGTGCATTCACTGAGATAAGGATCATAAAAATAATTTTGAAACAGCACAACCTAGTGTAGATAACACAATAAATGCAGTTTAAAAGAAAAAAAACAACAGCGAAAACAATATTCCTACGAAATTTATAGTTAATTATTTTTGCTATCTAATAAATACGCACTGGTTTAATAATTTATCCATTAAAAAAGGCTCTGACAACAAACAACTTCAACACAGAAAAAAATGAATGAAAATATCGTTAATAATTTGTATAGGTTTATTCATAGTCTAGTGGTATCTGCCTGACTGATTATAAATTATAACATTGAAATTGACAATAATAGACTTAGTAATAACCCTGTCTAACGGAAGATTTCGATCGATAAAATATCCCATCTTACAGATCCAATACATACATACAAGCAAACAGATTTAAGCAAGACCTAATGATTAGCTAGAAAGGTGAATTTTAGTGGCTTGTTAATTGCTAGATGATTTTCATTAAAGACAGGAATAAGAAAGATAAGAAATCAATGAATATCAGTAAGTAATGGACATTTGTTTCAATTTAATTTGGAGCTCATTTGAAAAATGTGTATCCATACACATTCGGATATCATGACCAGTATGATACATTTAGACTATTGGGTTGAAATCTGAATCCAAATAGAAATAAATCCCACAAAATTATCCAAGAGCATACGACCACTCCCAGGGAAGTCTTACTCACTGCCTCCTCGTGGCATTACTGTTGTTTACGAAACGGATAGGATGAAAAGCGAATGTCCGGCGCTTTAACCGGGTCGGTGGATACGAAGGATCCGCCTAGGGGAGTTGGAAAACCTTGACTCTGAACCAATAGTGCACACTGGATCCAGGATCCTGAAGGAACAAATGACGTATGAACCTATTGTTGGTCACCAGCTACCATGGGACTGCATCTCCTTACATTGCTCGATCGCCTTGTTGATCAGACCATTAAGCCGAATGCGCCGGGCGTGGTCCCTTAAGAAAATCACCTGCTTCAGTCTGGGAATGATTTGTGTGGCGCATATCTATTTGGTGCTTCCTTGTACCAATGTTTGTGTTTAAGTAAATAATAAAAATAAATTTATCCATTATATTTTAACAGATTTACCACACGGGTTACGTTGATATTTTTGGTACACATATCAACAAACCTGATCCTTGAGCTCATAAGATAAAAGGTTATTGTAAAGTTACATTCGACATACTGCGAGAGAAATTTCTCAAAGCCTTTTTTTATCTCGTTCATCTATGTTGTGAAATAATAAATTACCAATGACGTGGGATGAGGGTTTTATTGCATAATAAATTGATTGAAGTTAGAAATGTAAACTATTGTGTTGCAAATTTATCATTTAAAAAACACGTTATACTGGTCAAGCCGGTTGAATCCTGATAGACAGGTGTTTATTACTAAGTAATCGCAAATAAAATCCACAAAAAACAATTAACTAATATCCCCAAAGTTCTCAATAACTCTCTAGCTGATGACAACCTATTGAGGAAAATTCCATTCAAAACACTAGGGTATATTTTGATGTAGGTTCATAATTTTTTGATTGATTGTAAAAAGTAAAAAAAAACTAAGTACCTACAAACTACTAACAAGCAATAATTGTAAGAGAACAACGGTATTATTTAGTTCGTATCGCTGAAAAGATAAAATCCGATTGATCAGATCAACTGAAAAATGTGAAGAAATGTACGAATTAACACAGCAATCTAATTTAATCGAAACATATACATAGAAACAAAATAAAAAAATCACCTCTTCTAGTGTCTTCCAAGTTTCATCTGTCGATACACGGAGTGCTTCGATACTAGCCGTAAGTTGACTAGCTGTTGTTTGAAGTTCATCATACAATGGACCATCTGGACGAATATGATCTTCCTATGAAAATATAGTTTATATAAATACAAAATGTACTCATCATTAAGCGAACCTAAAAACTGACTTTATTTCAAGTAAATAGTAAATCCAGTTATACAAGAATATATAAAAAATAATATGTAAAAATATTTACTCATATTGTTTTACACTCATTGCTAAACTAAACGCACATATAAATAAACATTATTGAGAGTACAATGACACAATATTTATAATGACCAGTAGTTCGACGTCAAGTTATCAACTATCCTAAATAACAAAAGTAGTAATAAATTAAAAACAATACACTTACAATTACAATTCCTCTAATACGTTATTGTCTCAGAAGAAAAAATATATAACAGCGACAAACTACCGTATAACATAGTTTAATCAGTCTACATGAATGATAAATAATAATCAGATGAAAATTGTTTAGCTAGTTTAATAAGTACAACTTTTATGCACACAAAATTTAAGCCATACTATATCAATAATTTGCCAGAGATACTATCTACTTGTTTTAACTACAAAAGGTGAGTGAGTGATTCGAAATTATAACATACAGGTAGAAAAATGAGTGCGTTAATAACTAAGCCATCAACTTCCCTTTCATTTCTGTCTGAGTGGAACGGCTTTCAACTTCACCTACTACGGTTCGGGTAACTGGGTAGTATTCAAGAGATCTCGCAAACTAAGTGTGACTGAAGGACATAAGTACATGGATCAACATTTGTTAGTGAGTTAATAATGATAATAATAAATTCTTCCAAATTACTTTTTGCGAATCTACAGACTATGGAAAACTTTTTTACCGAATTTAGCACGATTGGCAAATTACGAAAGACAAATAATACAGATAAATGCTGATAATTGAATAAATACCAAAAAGCACTTCAAAAAATTTAATTATATACAAACACAACCAGATAAGTCTAAATACATAACACACTGATTTATTTAATGATTCAAGATATCAATATTAAAAGCAGTTTCCTATTATTTAAGATCCAGTACATATTTATAATATATAAATACATATAAGTTGAAAAGTAATAAAAAATATATTTATTAGTTTGCACTCTGATTTTCCGTAAAAAATTTAAGCAGAAAGAGAATCATGAGTGCATCACTTAAGTACTACACCTTATACTAATATGTAGAGAAAATATTCACCTAAAAACACCGTTAAAAAATTTCAAAAGGTCAAAAACACAAACTAAATAAAGTACATGACTGAAACTACTACACTCATAAAAAATATTTCAGTAAAGATGGGAAATGGATAAAATGAAAGTCAGTCAGTCAGTCAGTCAGCTACAACGTAGGACCAGGCACATATTTGCATCAATCCAAGTCCCTATACCTCATTAGCACAACAAGATGAACACCGAATCCATATAAGTAGCTAGTTCAATGGTAGAAATATATAAAAGATTGTGTAAAAGGATATAGTACAGGAAGAAACAATTAGTCCGTAGAAAGAAAGATATGAAGCGATTTTAATCTCAAAGTATAAGGAAAGACAGAGTGTATACACCGACGCCACTGTGATCTATTCTGAGCCATGTCACCCAGAGTCTCCAACCATTGGTTACGATAGTCACGTGGACCCCAACCAAGTAGTTTAGTAGTATCTACCAACATAGCTCAGACCAGAAGTTAGTGACTTCAAGCACCGATGCCACGTTTTGGTTTGACCGCTCCTAACTTTCTTTCAACCACCCCCTACACTAGTCAGCATTGTGCGTCGTGGTAAACGGTGTTCAGGCATACGTAACACGTGACCCAACCATCTCAGTCGATGAAGATTCACAACCTCATCCACTGGTTTACCATCATTCTCGAATACCCTGCGTCTAACCTCACTATTACTTACTTGGTGATGCGAGAAGATGCGAACAATATTTTTAGGGCATCTGTGGTCAAATACTAGTAGCTTACGAGTATCTTCTACTCTTAATGGCCACGCTTTGCAGCTGTAAAATAGAACAGAATGAACTGCCGCGCAGTATACTCATCTCTTAATTGACAGGTGGATATCTCGTCTTCGCTATAGGTGACGTAAGTTGGCTAAAGTCAAACGGACTTTCTGAATCCGTGCAGAGATTTCGTCAGACACTAACTCATTAGGGCTGATCAAACTTCCAAGATAGATGAATTTGTCAACGCGTTCGACCGCTTCACTCCCCATCCTTAATTCAGGTGTTGACACACGCCAGGCATTTAGAGGGGTGAAGCGCATCCCCAACATTCTGGCGTTGCTGCTCAGTACTATCAAGACTCTGCATTTTATCTGCGTCTTCACCAAACAGGACTATATCATCTGCATATTCTAAGTCGATAAGTGGACCTCCTGGTAGTAGATCAATGCCTGAAAATTCAGTCTATCAGAGCGTCATTTCCATCAATAGGTCTATGATGAAGTTAAACAAAAATGGAGAAAGTGGACAGCCTTGACGGACACCATTTGGGGTTGCGAAATCAGCTGACAGTTCGCAATGAACTCTAGCTCGATTAATAGTGTTCGAGTAAAGAGCCTTCACAAGGTTTATGTACTTCTGAGGTACGCCTCTCAATGACAGACATTGCCACAGACCCACTCGGTCTACAGAATCACATGCTGCTTTTAAGTCAAGAAAGACCAACATTGTCGGATGCCGATAAGTATGCCTGTGTTCTAGAACCTGACGAACGGTGAGTACGTGGTCGATGCAGCCACGACCAGGTCTGAAGCCAGCTTGAGTCTCTCGTGTTTGCAGTTCACGAGTCTTAGTCAAGCGTCTGATAATTATCGAGGATAGTATTTTAGATACTATATTAGTTAAACTAATCCCTCTATGGTTGTCACAGGATGTGATTTTAACCCTCTCTTATATATTGGGACGATAAGTGATTGTGACCAGTCAGATGGAATAATGTCTAACTCCCAGATCTTAGCTAAAATATTAGTCAACCTAATCGCTAAAATTAGACCACCATCCTTAAAGACCTCTGGAGCCAATCCATCTGGACCAGCTGCCCTTCCTCGTTTCAGATTAACTATAACCAGTTTAACTTCTGCTAGAGTTGAGGGACCTACTTCAATGTTCCATTCACACTGTCTGGGAATGGAGGGAGTTGTAGAGTAGCTAATGGCCAGCTGAACTGTTCTCTGAAATGTTCCACCCATCGTTCTAAACGTCTGGACTGAGAGCAGATAAGGGTGTCGTCTCTCTCCCAAATAGTCTCACTTAAACTTGACTTATTAATTCCAGTTTCTTTTATTAGTCTGTAGAGCTGTCTTGTGTTTCCTATAGCCGCCGCCTTCTCCATCTCTTTTGCTTTCGTTGCCCACCACTGCTCACTGTCGTTTCTTAGACTTTTGTTTAACCTAGATCTGATTTGTTGTCGCTCTTCAGAGCCTGAGGGGATGAGTTTACGAGAATCCATCAGTGCAATAGACCTTGAGGAAATCCATTGGTTCTTTGTAACCCTTTGGTTTAAATCCCTAACAGATGTCACTGCTGTTTCCACAGCTGCTTGTATATCTTTCCAAGCAACAGCTGGATCAACCTCGTTTTCAGAACTACCTAAGTGTGACCTCAGTTGTTCCTGGAACCTACTCTTGGTTTTCTCGCTACTCAATTCAGTTCTAATGGCTCTTTTTAGTGTGGCTTTTTTGCGTCCAGTGAGGCGCAAGCAGATGCGTGCCCGTATTAGGGCGTGGTCGGAGTCTAAGCAGGTACTCTAGAATGAGCGACAATCTTCTATCTCCTTCTACGTGTACTATATCTGAACGTTCAGCTTTCTGTAAAATCCATCTTTCACTTCATCTAGGCTGCAGTCAGTGCAAGCGTAGGCAGAAACGACGAAAAGGCAACGATGTATGTCCCTGTACTTCCGCATTCTTGCGGAGCCGTTTAGCCGAACAGCACATAGACGACTGTTAACGGGGATCCACTCTAATAGTGCTTGTTCTACCCTCGTATGTAGTGCTATGCACACACCTGCCAGTTCACGAGAACTAGCCATCAGGTGGCCAGATACACGGAGGCTGTATCTCGTCGGCTCTCCGTTTCGGCGAGGTGAGGTCAAGTGAATGACCATACTAGGATCCTGTATGTGTGTTTCGGAGACACAGCATACATCAATGGTACGAGATTCTAGGGTTTTAGCCAAGGAGACCTGATGGCCAATTTGATATAGAGTGAGTACGTTGAAGGCTCCAATGTGTAGTTTGGAGCGAGGTTTCAGTAGACTTGAAACAGTGTTTTGCACACTAGAATCGTTGGCTATAGTGAAACTTGAGGGAGAAGCCGAAAGAGGAAGTTTAGAGTTGAAAGTCGATGTAGGAGGAATAATAGGAATTGAAAAGGGAGGTTGATTATGAATACAGTGGTCTTGAGTGCTGCTACAGGTATGAGGGCGGTTATCACTTCCCGGATGCCCACACCGTGGAAGGGTTCTTTTGGAGGTACCTGAAAAGGAAATTGGATTAGAGGTGGTCTTAGGAACCTGGGAGCGTGACCGCAGTACCCAAGGGACAACTGCTTGAGGTCGGTCACATACGACCTTTTTATGGGCAATTTTTGTGTTAGCTCCGTACTTTTTGGGACCTTACCGCCGGAGACGGATATCCGTGGGATAAGGTGAGGTGTGCATTTTAGGGTCGACCTTTTCTAACCCCACTCCTCCTTGTGAGAAGGCAGCATCGCTGTCATGCTGGTTGTCTGAAGGAAACACCTTACTGCTGTCACACTTCTGTACAGTCAGCAGTACGACTTCGCCTTCGGACCTTGGGTTTGTTGCTTTTAGTCTTACCGCTCTTCAACCAACCTGTCTGACATGGCAGGACCTTGGCGAACGGTTATTCCAGCCAGTATAGCTCAGGTGTTTCATCACGATAGGCAAGCCGGACCACCACGTCAAGGTAACAACAACGGTGAAAGAAAATACAACTATAATTACAACCACCAATACAAATGGTACCATTATGTATTACTATTAATTGACAAACGAAAGCATCTAGGAGAGTGTGGTCATTATTACAAATATTGAAATTTACAACACAATAAAATCTCATGAAAAAAATTAAAATCAGAAAACATATATGGTTATTTTAATTCGGCATCCCATGAAATAAGGGTCTGATAGCTAGAATATTAAAGATAAACTTGGAATCATCATTTTGGAATGAACATTGTTACTTAACGGGATACTAATAAATACAACTGACGAATCGAATGTATAGAGAGAAACTAAATGTAAAACAATATCCAAGTTTAATACCATAAAAAAATTTAATGTGAAAATTATTCATCAATCAGATATTCATTCATTTTATTAACTAACTAATCAAAATACAATACTTATGTAGATTAATCGAATAGAATTCAATGAGAGCTTTTTGTTTAAACAATAACAATAACAACATTGTCGTCATAGTTACCAGTGATAATTGTCAAAATCAATTACATGCAAAGTTAATCGAAACACAACAATATAGATAACATATACACTTACAATATCTTCTTTGGATGGCATAAATTTAAAATAACCCGGACGTGTATACACTTGTTCGTTACGTTTGAAAAAGCATGCTTTATCTTGTCGTAAATCAAGTGCTGTAATATTTCTATTTAACATTTCAACAATTGAACCATGACATGATTTCAATGTTTCTTCACAACTTAAATGCATCATTGCTGAACGCGCCAGACTATTATGAAAACCACAAAATAAACACTGAAAATGAAGGAAAAAGAGATAAAAAACAGAGAAACTAAGACGTGAAAGAAGTACAGTAGATATATACATACGACGAATAATGTTTTTAAATGCGTGTGATTGGCAAAATAACTGCAATGATAAAATAAATGAGACAGAAACTAGTTAAAATGTGGTTTTCAGGTGGAATTTATTTAAACATAAGTAAAAAACACTAGGCAGCTATAGAAGAAGTTGAAAAAACAAGAAAACAGGTGGGGACAACCGATTATGCCTAGATAAGAATTTTTATCGGCGTCCGACAATGTTGGTCTTTCTTGACTTAAAAGCAGCATGTGATTCTGTAGACCGAGTGGGTCTGTGGCAATGTCTGTCATTGAGAGGCGTACCTCAGAAGTACATAAACCTTGTGAAGGCTCTTTACTCGAACACTATTAATCGAGCTAGAGTTCATTGCGAACTGTCAGCTGATTTCGCAACCCCAAATGGTGTCCGTCAAGGCTGTCCACTTTCTCCATTTTTGTTTAACTTCATCATAGACCTATTGATGGAAATGACGCTCTGATAGACTGAATTTTCAGGCATTGATCTACTACCAGGAGGTCCACTTATCGACTTAGAATATGCAGATGATATAGTCCTGTTTGGTGAAGACGCAGATAAAATGCAGAGTCTTGATAGTACTGAGCAGCAACGCCAGAATGTTGGGGATGCGCTTCACCCCTCTAAATGCCTGGCGTGTGTCAACACCTGAATTAAGGATGGGGAGTGAAGCGGTCGAACGCGTTGACAAATTCATCTATCTTGGAAGTTTGATCAGCCCTAATGAGTTAGTGTCTGACGAAATCTCTGCACGGATTCAGAAAGTCCGTTTGACTTTAGCCAACTTACGTCACCTATAGCGAAGACGAGATATCCACCTGTCAATTAAGAGATGAGTATACTGCGCGGCAGTTCATTCTGTTCTATTTTACAGCTGCAAAGCGTGGCCATTAAGAGTAGAAGATACTCGTAAGCTACTAGTATTTGACCACAGATGCCCTAAAAATATTGTTCGCATCTTCTCGCATCACCAAGTAAGTAATAGTGAGGTTAGACGCAGGGTATTCGAGAATGATGGTAAACCAGTGGATGAGGTTGTGAATCTTCATCGACTGAGATGGTTGGGTCACGTGTTACGTATGCCTGAACACCGTTTACCACGACGCACAATGCTGACTAGTGTAGGGGGTGGTTGAAAGAAAGTTAGGAGCGGTCAAACCAAAACGTGGCATCGGTGCTTGAAGTCACTAACTTCTGGTCTGAGCTATGTTGGTAGATACTACTAAACTACTTGGTTGGGGTCCACGTGACTATCGTAACCAATGGTTGGAGACTCTGGGTGACATGGCTCAGAATAGATCACAGTGGCGTCGGTGTATACACTCTGTCTTTCCTTATACTTTGAGATTAAAATCGCTTCATATCTTTCTTTCTACGGACTAATTGTTTCTTCCTGTACTATATCCTTTTACACAATCTTTTATATATTTCTACCATTGAACTAGCTACTTATATGGATTCGGTGTTCATCTTGTTGTGCTAATGAGGTATAGGGACTTGGATTGATGCAAATATGTGCCTGGTCCTACGTTGTAGCTGACTGACTGAAATACGAAATTACAGAATCTTTTGGTAAATGATTAGAACCATACACTAGATACTTTATTTGCGAATTTCCATCGTTTGTCCTTCACATTCTGTATAATTCTTGCAGTCTACACTTACTGTCTATTCTCTTCAACTCGGTCTGCTTAGCGTTCTGATGCCAGGTTTTCCATTTCCGATGGATGTCGCATACTACTTACATCTGTCGACATAAGTAGCATACACCACAGTAGTAAATAAGTTATTATGATTTAAATAAATTGACAAAATTATTCAATTGAAACCCTAAGTTAGTCAGTCAGTCAGCCATAGCCAACGTACAGGCTAGCTACTTATGTGTACTGGCCCAAGTTGCTATACCACAACAACACAATGAAATTAAATTTACAAGATGAATGGTTAGCGTTAGATATATCGACCATAGGATGGTATATCTGATGAACTGTGGCGAAAAAACAAGACCAACAATGATTTATACGTAATGGCAAACAGTAACCTAGCGGATTAACATTTATTATTCAGATAGTGATAAAACACACGTAAAATAATTGATTTTGAATTAAATTAACTTATTCATCAAGTACTCGGCTGTGAGTTACACTCTACGAGTGATGACTAATGATGATACCTATCCGGTTGTCCAAACCGACGTGTGTAGAAACTGGGACTTGGTGGACGGAAATCGGCAGCTATAAGAGCTAGGCCACTGCTTTACTGATGATAGTAACTTATTAGAAAAGGTGACACTTATCACAATTAGTTTTCTAGGAGACAATGATAAGAGGAAGTGAGTATTTCGGTCCTCTTATTCGGGATTGGGTAAGCAAAAACACAAGTCACTTGATTAACAATTTTTCAGTAGTTTATACACCAATCAGTCAGTCACAAACAAAGTAGAACCTGATACAGATGTCCATCTGAACTAATCAACTAATTAACTGTTTAAATACCATTATTAGTGTTTAGATGATACATACTCGATAGTGCTTACAACATCCCCTTAGTCACTAATATCGAGTGATAAACTGTTTTATATAAACGAAAAAAATAAAACATAAATCACTTGTAGAGTATATTAGAAAAGTAACTAATGCAGTTGTATGTAAAAAGAGTAGTTCTTGTAAGCGGAAATTTAAAAGTAATAAAATTGCTTTGAAATTCCAATAGCTGTTTCCAAACTGAATATTAACGTTTTATGTGCGACAATAACTGACCAACGAAAATAAAAGTTTCTGTATGTAGAATTATAGACATACTTTTTTCAAATTACTTATCAGTATATCAAGCTGAAGGAGATGGAGTTGGAGAAGGCAAATTAGTGACTAGAAGTTAAACGTCCTAACCACTGAGTCACTGCTCCGCCTATGTTAATTAATTACTGTCTTGTTGATGTGAAAGAATTTGAAAGTTTAGAGATTATGTATCCTATTCTTGATAAAATAGATATAATCCATGTTACCACGCTTGTGTTATCAATAAAACTTGGTAAATATTATTCATCAATCAATGGTAATTGTTCTTTCTATTATTAACTGGACACTGACATTATAATGCTTTTTCTGTTTAATTCTGAGAAAAAAATTGTTAAGACCACTTAGTGCTTTTATCCATTATGCATATTCTCGAAGATTCTTCTCAAGAAATGAAAATTCTAACAAATTCAGTGGATCCAATTTCTTGATATTCTCTGTTGATGAACACTGTCTTTATAATTAACATTGTATCTTTTCCATCGAGAACGAATGACATATTAGCTAGGAGAATCGTTATTTTACTAGAATAATGTGCTGAAAAAACTTACACCATTAACCACTATACTACGGTGGAATGATGGGCGAAATCAGCAAATTATTCATGTTGGCGAACGCCTTAAATAGCAGTCAACATCTGCTACCTTGAAGGACGTGATCGCACTAATATATATATATATATATATATATATATATATATATATATGACATTACCTCAACTATATCCGGCGCCTCTTGAGTGAAATAACGTTGAACACTGTGATTGGTGGCAGCCAACTGTATTAAATATTCATTTCGTGCACGAGTTGTTGATAAATTCGCATTGATATAATTCGCTTGTTTCTATCATACAACAACACATTAAGATATAATAATAATAATATATATATATATATATATATATATATATATATATATATAACATTTATTCTCATCTTATAAGGTGAATCAAAAACATGAAAATCCTTGATTCAATATGAATAATAATGTGAATAATACGCATGTTCCGTTTGTTGATAAAATCGACCACATCATGTTTACTTAGCTAGATGATCTCAAGAGAAAAATCAATCTCTATAATGTTAATCTTTCTAAGCAAAATTTTGGAAAAATAGATGATAGATCTCACTATAGTGTCCCTTCTATAGCTGATCGACCACTATAGCCAATTCAACGTATTGTTCGTATGACTCATGTAAAGACAGCTTGGGCATATACGATACCCAAAATCATTAAACATTCGGTTTAAATGACGGTATTTTAATTTAGATTGATGAATACACACAGACCATGTTCATTTAAAGATTAGTCGCTAGTTCATAAGACATTCAACATTCATCATGTTCAAATCAATTTAGAGATGAGAATAGCGTCTTATTAATTTTAGAATATTAAAGATTCCCATAGTGAAAATTAGAACAACACATATAAGCGAACAATTGTTTTCAATTAGATCGTCATCAGGTTTTACTCTAATATACATGAATATTTATACGAAAATGTTAAACCAATCAAGGCAATATGGGTCAATAATCACAATGAAATAGAATAAGTTTTGTTATTGTATTTTATTATTCTCACTATTATCAGTTCACCTGTCTTCCTACTATCAACTTGTACTTTTACCTATTATGTGTAGTGACTTATTCTATTTCATTGTGATTATTGACCCATATTGCCTTGATTGGTTTAACATTTTCGTATAAATATCCATGTATATTAGAGTAAAGCCTGATGACGATCTAATTGAAAACAATTGTTCGCTTATATGTGTTGTTCTTATTAATTTAACAGAAAAATATCGAAAGTTTAAATAACTCGTCAACGGGCTTTCTTATTTCCTAACTTTACCTTTTTTAATTATTCACGATGAAGGGAAAAAATATGCTACTTAAGATAAATTGAAATTCTATATGAAGAAATGAGTCATTGGTGTATAACATAAATGTCATTCTAGACGGGAATGTGTAAATAATTGCATCGACCTGTAACATGCACATTATATTGACAACATACTTCCGATGACAGACTACAATAAACAAATTTTACAAATATTTCGCATCGTTCTTGACTTTTCAACACAAAGTAAGCAGGAAATAGTCAATGTCAAATACATAGAATTGTTTAACATCACGGATATTTTATATTTTAAATTTTACTACCATTCAACATCAATTAAACTTGGTAGATACCCTTTAAGACACCACAAAAAAGTTCGACAATCGCAAGTTTTATTATCTCTAAAATGATTTCTTTACGTTATTTCGTAAAATAGCGTTAGCTCAATGCCAAAACCTCCATTCTTTTAGACAAGTGAATTGTAAATTTATACTGCATTTATATCTGTTTTGATCTGAGTGATCAAATAGTGTTTTCTGACTTGACAAAACAAATTTAGTTTCAAGCATTTCTGGACTCATTGGAAACTTGGTAACTAAGATTAAAAGTTTACATTAATATGATGAGAGAACATTTACTCGCTTAGTTTGAGAGACCATATTTACCATGCACATGAATCGGAAGAATAAAAGTAAAGGAAAATCCGACAATGTCATTAATGACAACCGTACAAAAGTACAGTAAAATAGACAGATATTGGCTAATTTAGGCCTCGAAAATACAGAGTGAATTCAATTTTTCTTCTGAACCAAAGGCATTCAGCTTTAAAAATTCGTAGACCCCCGACCACTCAATGTTAGTTTTCTGTGCATTAATATTTTTGAAGAAATGCTGAGTCTTCGTTTCTCAATGTTGTAACAGGATTATTTCAATTAAATAAATAAGAATTGAGATCCATATGATTCTTTCAAGTGCAGAAAATATGAGATTGAACAACTATTCGTGGTTTTTCGGTTACCAACTTCAAACAAATCTTTAGTTGAGTATACACAAATGAACAAGAATAACTCACGTTAATCATGCTGTTTAATAATAAAAAAGATTTTTATAATGGCATGATGAAATGTATTAGGCAAACTAATACAATTTAATAAACCAGATAGATTTTCACTTCTAAGCACTTCTTGGAAACTTCAGCGTATTGATTGTTCATACAACTACCGAAGGAAAGATAGCTTTTGTAACAAATCGTATAAATTGTATGCTTTATTTATTGTTAACTTTCCAACTTAACTTATCCAATGTTAACATCTCTTCAGATGAATGGTTAGAAATTTTTTTTATCCATCATTGACATACAATGTGAAAAATAGGAATATCTGTACATCCTTCTTTATATGAACAGTAAAAGTAAGGATAAGATAAATAATACAAGTGCAAAAAAGCAAGCAAAGAAAGAGAAAATAAACAGGTTCAAAATGTTCAGTACAAATCATCTTTGGTATATCGATAGAAAATAACCAAACAATAACACCGAAGATTATGATTAAGAATAAATACATTTTATGAATCCATAATCTAGATCCATACAAAAAATCAATCGTAGGTGGAATAATTTGATGCATAGACAGAAAGAGAAGACAGACTGATTAGGTAACTTTGTAGAAAGCAAAAGCTGAGCGACAAAGGGAATAGGAATAATCAGTGATAAACAATGTATATAGGTGAAAAAGTCGACAAAAAGTTATTCATGACATGATGCAAACTGAAGTACTCTACACCACTAAACGAGGCTCTGCTTTGTTTAAGCACCGTTTTGCTTTCGTATTGTACTACGAAAAAATAACGGCCCTTCTATTTCAATTTCTTCAGTTGTTATGTTACACATTAGCGTACATCCGTTTTCAGAATAGTTATTGGGATCTAACAACATACCTACATATTAAAACCAAACATTAAAATGAGAATATGAAAGTAAAAAAACTTGGAAATCGCATACATAAAACCACTAAAATAAATTTCTCATTTTAAGTAGGCAATCTCATACAACACTGAAGGAAAAAAACATTGTGAGGAAGAAAAATAAATTATATATTATCCATCTAAAATCAAATCTATTATCATGATATAAGCAAAAGTGTTATTATATCTGTGCACTAACCAAGTCGAATTCATTTTGAGCTCGCATAGACCGTTGACTATTATCAGGATCTTTGCCTTTACTACGGGCTTTTTGATTAGCAGCTAACAGTTTATCTTCAGCACGACGACGGATTCGATCAGCCTCCAATGCTGCGGCTTGTCTATGTGCATATTCACGTTGATCGGCCTGGAGTTTAGTAGTATTGGCTAAAACACGATCTTGACATGAGGACATCATTTCACGACACTACACAAATAAAATACAAACATATATATCTTTTATCAACTATACAAATAAAACAAAAACTTTTCACTGACATTAAAATAGAACGAAAATCGGGCTTGATGCTTTTTACATAGTTCGATGGTAATTGAAAAAAATTGCAAATAATTAATCAGACTTTCAAATGGCATTTGTCACGGAGTGACCTCAGTTGAGATACTGTGGAAAAACAAGGAACGTTAGACAGCTGTTTCGTCTAAGTATAGTACCCATCAATTTCATTGAGTGATCATCGCGCTACATTATGAATCGATTGAAGTTGAAAATATGTACCACTAGATGCCAATCTAGAAGCACATTGGTTAGAAGCTTGCTATGGGCATTCAAAGTCCCGGGGTTGATTTTCGGAAGGTTGGTATATATCCACGTCTGAGTTCTTCACAAAGACGAAACAGACGTCAAATGCTACTTGGTTTTCAATGGTACCCTGAATAAAATCAATACATGACGAATATTACTTACAAGCCAAACCAATCACCATAAAATCCTTTCATTAATTGAGTACATTGTTACAGTGACATACATAGATTTGCTATTATTTTAACTACCTAAAGTAATATTATGTAGAAAAATGTTTAGTTCCCTAGTTTTAAAGGTACGATGAGATCAAATAAACCAAAATCCAACACTAACAACTTCTCCAGACATAGTATTCCCCACTTTCTGAAGTTACTGTGTATTTACCTACAGGTTTGAATGGTTAATTATCACTTTAAAACTACTATTAAGAAGATTACTATTATATTTGTTATTCTTTCTTACACATTCACTCCTAACGTTTACAGAAAAAGTAAGATCATTGCTAAACTAAGTAATTTTGGCATATTTTACAACAGCTAACATATACAATTTCAGATTTTACAATAATGATTAAATATCATTCAAACAGTCTCAACGTTCGCCTGACTGAAACATACAGCTATCTGCTTTTCGTTGACTGTAGCCAATAATCCTACAATTACAAAAATGCACATATATAGCGATAGCTCCATTTCTATTTACATTTCATACAGTCCCCATGACTAATACAGACCAGGTGAATCACAGAAACAGGCAAAGTATGATTATAATTGCACAACCTACACAAATCAAGAAGGTAAATATTTCTATAAGAATTTCACTTTCACACGTTTATCGAATAAACAATTAAGACAATATATTGGTTCATGTGAAATACAATGAATTTTATGAAATATTATCGGTAAGTTTAAAACTATTATGTAATGCAGAAAAAAGTAAATAAATAAAATCACTGTGATGTGCTTGGGCAAGAATTAAACCTGATAGTCAGGGATTAATTCTACTGAAAATTGAGTGATCTAAAGTTGTCATATCTTTCAATCCTGTTTGTTGAATGCCTCCTAATAAGGTTTATTCTAGAGTTCAATATTTGGTATGTCATCTTAGGTGGAGTTTTGTTCTCTGAGCTGGGTGGTTTGGCTGTTGGTTCATCTAAAAAACATCACCAACACAAAATTCTCCCTGACGTCGGGGTTGATGTTGTTGTTCGGACGAACAATCCAAGCTCTATGACTAAACCATCCAGATCAGAGAAAACGCTACCTGAATAATCCACCTGAACAACAAATCGGTGAAACTATAATTTATGGACGACCTTTGAGCGACGCTAAAGTGACCTTGAGACTGCTCACTTGATAACAAGTCCAAATGAGTGCTATAAACAAGCGTGAGGAATTATGATTTACTATGATTTACAGTTGTTAGGGTTAGGAATTAGATTTAGGGTTGTCATCACGAACTGATATCAGCTATAATGCTAAAACTCTATTTAGCCAAATGGATGGGTGAATTTCGCACCAAAATCTGACACCTGATATCTTATACCTGATTGGTTCGTCCATAAATTATAGTCTCGCCGTTTTGACTAATCGAGTGATAACATTCTGGTAAAAAATGGGTGGGTGTTGATATAAAGGTTAAAACACCAAATTCCTTAACTTTGGGATGGATTTGGATAGCTGAGTAGTTTATCACCACCCTTCATGATTTTGTATTCGATTAGTGAGTTTCACCGAAAATAATGATATATTTCAATAAGTACAGGGGATAGATTTTCTATTTAAACTATCGGGAAGCGTTTAAATTGTCAATCATTTAGAAAAAAACTCTTTATATTAGGTTTGACAACAAAATGTATGTTGATAAGATTATAGACACAATAAGTTCAATAATGAAACTAAGTGAAAAACAGTGTTTTCTGATGGATGGATAGATAGATAGGTGAATAGATCAAGTTAGTCTGAACAAGAGTTTATCGATTCAAGCTTCTAAATTATTCACAGGACAAGAGGATATAAGCGAGGAACGAAAAAAAGGAGAGAAAAGCGTTGAAATGAACCAGAAGGAAGAAACTGATGGACAACTTAGTGGACATTAATAAGAAGACAAGTAATCACATAACTAACTGATTCTCATTCGTCAGGTAGGCGTATTGATTTTCAATATGACAACTCCGATCTATGGATTCATTGATGCTATGCACTTATTTTACAATATTTTGAATCAAATACAAAGCAATGATACTTTGATGAACAATTTTTGCCTAGATTACATAATTTTCATATATTAATTTCCCCTCATTATCTTGAAGAGAACAAGAACAAAGAATTGAACAGAAAAACATTAATTCATTTTATTTCGTAAGTTCCAACCTCAATTCTTTGCTATTTAACCTTTTATATAATTTTGTTGATAATAATGTTCTTCATGACAAAAAAGTGGTTATTTAAGTATTTCTGATATGATTATATCCATCATAATAAACAATAACTTTTGAGCATCAAGCAGTGTTCTGAAGTTCTCTGAAGAAGTGACTTTTACACTAAGCCACGAAACGTCAGAAAATCCAATTTTCTACTCATTGGGATATTACAAATATATTATTCTTATTTATAGTGTTGTAACAAGTTAAATACAGACGTGTTCAGCTTTATTAGAATAAAAACGTCGTACACATTTCATGTTAGATTATTCTATAAAGCACTAAATATCCCGATGATCTGGTTAAAGTATAACAATAATTTTCGAGTAATTAGTATTTATTGGTTTAAGGGGTTTGTGAAGCCTGTTAAATTTCATAATTTAAATCACGAACTGAAATTGTTCAGACAACCAGTGGAAACTATGAAGCATTTGACAACTGTTTCATCTTAGGATAAGAGCATCCTACATTACATAGCCCTGGTCCATCTGCGGACCAAGCCTAAGACATTCAGGTCTTACGATGGGCACTTAACCTTTAGACCACTGAGTTGGTAACCGATCGTTTATATTCCATGGTACATCAATTAGTACTTAACCTAACTAACCAATAATTACAGGCATCCTGGAAAAAAAACAAGGAATTTTAGCGTTCTATCATTCGAAGTACAGCAATTACTGACACATCCTTTCACATGATTGAACGTATTTTAGCAACAATAAAATATTTTCTAGAATATTCAGTCTAATTCATTTCTAAATAACCAAAAACTTGACAGATGTAAAAACGTTAAATCTGGAACAAACACAGATAGGTCCGATAAGACAATTTACAAAAAGGAGTAACAAAGGAAATTTAACTAAAAATTAAAAGAACCAAAGATAATGATACAAGTGTGGTGTATGCTACTTACGTCGACAGATATAAGTAGTATGTAACACCAACTGAAAGTGGAATTGAGAAGATCGAACTGAAGACAACAGGAATGAATGCAAGTCTCCCTTCACTACATTTTTTGGGGGATAACCAATTTATTGCCTAATGCAAAATTACAGAATGCCTCCGTGAAATGTGAAAACCATACATTAAATATATCATTTGCATATCTTATATCAGTTATCTCTTAAAAACTTCATTGTTCCTTCATTCCAGTTGTTATTACAATTATTCTGTTTACATTTCTGCTGTCTTCAGATCGATCTTCTCAATCTTCTGCTGCTATATATTCCACTTCTAATTGGTGTTACATACTGTCAACGTAAGTAGCATACACCATATAAGTATTGAATTAGTGAAATCCCAAACTTCACACAGATAAAAGAAAACTAGAAATATACAATGAGTTTGAAAGAAGATATTCCTAAACATGTATCAAAACAAACATTTTTAAAATAATATGATGTGACGTCACAAGCACAAAAATTTATTGACTAAATGACTAAATGGCCCCCAAATGCCCTGGTACGGCCGAGAGTGGGGAGAGTCCGCTCTCCCTCTCCAAATGCCACGCGTATACAGCCTATGCCAGGGAAGTCCTACCCACTGCCTTCTCGTGGCCGGGGTTTTGTTTACGAAAATGAGAAGACGAAAAGCGAATGTCCGGCGCTTTAACCGGATTCCAAACCAATGGTGCACATGGACTCCAGTATCCTGTGGGAACAAATGGAGTATGAACCAATTGTTGGTCACCGGCTTCCATGGGACTGCATCTCCTTACGATGCTCCACTACCCTGTGGATCAGACATTCAGGTCGAAGGCTCGGGGAGTGGCCCCCTACGGAAACCACCTAGTTCGGTTTGGGCACCCGGGCAGTATCACAGCCCTCACACATATCGAATGAGATTTGTGTGGCGCATATGTATTTGGTGCCTCCTTGTACCAATATCTGTGTTAAAATAAATAAATAAATAAAATGACTAACAATTACACAAGAAGACTACAACGGAACTGAAATGTGAAAAGCACAGATAGGTTTCGACCCTGACAAAATGAATGAAAATTGAGTGCCTGGATAAAAAAGAGACGAAGACATAAAAAACAAAGTATCTAAAACAAGAACTAATTTACATTGCATCAAAACACTGACTTTTATATTGATTTAATTACTTTCGTTACTATTACAATTCATTCAACTGGAATCAATTCAGAAGTGAAAAATAATGGAACCAAAAAATTATTCATTTATTTTATTGTTAATGGTCATAAACATCGCCACAAATGATGATAAATACCCTAGAGGTATTCAGACAATTATATAGAATACAAAAATGTCATTAAATAGCAATATAAGTGAATGGAATGAAACTATTTTGAAATAAAAATAATCATGACCTATTTAGTTAGTAAGAAAGTAAGACTTTCACAGATTAAATAATAAGTTCTAGAATGACCTTTACATATAAATATATAGTGAGTGAAATGGATTTCTTCAAAAATCATTCTCCAATAAACATAAACAAACATATCAATCAATCAACGCATCTGGATAGATAAAAATGTAAATATTCTTGACGAATTAAGTGATCATAATAATGTTCAGACACGTTTACACACTTGACCATCAACTAGAAATTACTGACAAATTACATATTTCAAGGTGAAACCGTATTTGTAGGTAGCAGTCACAAACTGTCGCATACTAAATAGTGAGTAATAAAGTTTTCGAAGCTTTTGATATTGAAAATGTAGCAAGGTTGATTGGTTTTAGAGCGGAAGGAAGTTATAGTAGGATGATATTTGTCAAGAATGTCATTATGATTATACTCATAAGTGAAGTTATAGTTAAGACGTTCAAATTTCAACTATAAAATGAAATAATCGAACCCCACTATTATTACCTTAATTTGTACAGTTGCAAAGAGCATCACACGACAACAACTGAAAAGTGGTTTAATGTCGATTGCATATATAAGTACATGATTACTTAGTTGAATTACTTACTTACTGATGAGGCAAACAGAAGAATAAACTTTAATTTCTCGATTTTACAAACTTAACACTATTTTCTATAAAGTTGGCGCCAAAATTTCGTGTAATTAAACTATTTATCAGAAAACTTTTATAGAAATGTAGCTCACTATTAAAGTATAAATGTTATGCACTCCGTAAATACATATATAGTGACGAAAGGTAACCAATTACAAATTCACAGCATTCGCTTAAAAAACTACTTTATCAGACCGTGAGTAGTGTAGGGAGATTCCAATTTACTGGATTATAAAAATATATGGCTGAAGAGCGTATGTCACAAGGCTCGTGATCAAATACAATGCACAAGATATACTCACTTCTTACTTACTTACGCCTGTTACTCCCAATGGAGCATAGGCCGCTGACCAGCATTCTCCATACTAACTTCTTACCAACTGAAACTTCAGTGTTTCATCTAATTATCACTCAGTTTCTATTACCTACCAATTTATTTTAACATTCCTATCATTTTGTAAATTTTACCTTAATGTTTTGCTAAGAGGTATTTTACCTTGAATAATATACACTTTTATCCCACTTTCTACGCTAACAGTTCTGTGCATCAATAATTATTTGTGATTTCACTACAATATCATTTAACACTGAAACAAACAAAAAAGAATTGATAAGAAAGCCTAATGTGTATATCGTATAATATTATAAATAAATGAAATAAATTATCAAGTATATTGCAAGAACATATGAAAGAGGATGACAAAATTTGCGTAAAATCAGGCAGAAACAACTCGTGATTTGTTATGATAATATTAATAACTAATAAAACATGAAGAAAAATCATTTGATAACCTTTATTAATCTTTCTTATTTAATTCTAATTATATATACACGACAAAAGAGGATATTTTGATTTAAATTTACTGTTAAGAAGACTCCAGGTTATCTAGTTTTTGTTAATAAATGTTAATTTCTTCGTAATTATAACTGTAATGACATTTTTCTCATTCATATTTCTGCAAGACCTTTATAGTTTTCTCACTGGTTGTTATCATCTTTAGTATGTTACTTTTACTAAGTTGCTGTATAAACAGAGCTATTCCACTTCAATTTTGGCCTTTCTGACATCTGTTCATTATATAAAGATATGGTGAAAGTCAAGCCTTCTTTATCTCTTATGGACATGTGAATTGTTAACGTTGATGTGTTGTCGTGTGTCAGTGGCTGTAATAAAGAATTCGTATTAAATAAATTTCAACAGTTCCTAGTTAGAAATTAATGTGAATCTAACGAATCCAACAGAAAAATTACCAAGATATAACACTAATACAATAAAACAAAATATTATGCTCAAAAAAGTCAATAAAACTTTATTAATAGTCTAATTATAGTGGCTCAAATATGATATGTTGAAACAGAAAAGTTAAGCTTATTGTAATTAGTTACACACACAAAATAAAAACTTCACCTGTTTGTGCAAACGGACAGCATCTTCATCCATATCAGCTAAACGTTGAACCATTTGTTTCGAAAAAATATCAGATAAAGTTGCATGAGCTTCAGCTAAATGTAATGTTGAACCAAGTAATGTATTCCATATGGTGGTTGCTGTATAAGGCGCCCAATGAGGGCGTCTAAATATATTTTCAAAACAAGAAAGTAAGAGAAAATAATTAAACTATTATAATTTGAGGAGATTAGTTACTTCAACTGCCTTTAAAAATTCTACAAAATTTAAATAGAGCAATTAATGGAGCTACATTGTAAAAGGAGCATCTTATGTGAAAACAAAGATGAAACTTCAGTAGTAAAAAATACCTAATTAATCTAATCCTACTTTCTTTTAGAAAAACAAATGACAAAAGAAATAATGCATCAATAACATAAATCGTTAACCAGAAATTATATTATACCATGTTTTTGTTATAATTATAAAATCAAAGATAATCGGCAAAACCAAAGTTTGTAATTAACACAGATTATTATTATTATTATTATTATTATTATTATTATTATTATTATTATTATTATTAAAACACATAAACATAGGTACAAGGAGGCATAAAAAAACGGATATGCGCCACATAAATCATTAGATTTGCGTGGGGGCTGGAATACTGTCCGGGTGCTCAAACCGAAGCAGGTGGTTTTCTTAGGGGGCCACAACCCAATTAACGTAGAACCTAGGCAAAAATGAACATTAGCTCACGTTTTCATACCGTATTAACACAACAAAATAAAATTAACAAGATGAATACCAAAGGATTTGGCGTAATTGTAACACCAATGATGGTCAACAAAATTAAATAGGATGGAAAGATCTGTACGAAGGAAAATTATAACACAAGACCTAAAGGAAGATAAAGCATAAATCCATCTATATCACTATGGTTGATTCTGAACCACATCACTTGACGTCCCCAACCACGGATCATGGTTAATTTGATTATATTTTAAAGTAAAACAATAAATTTAGACTACATCGATAAATCAATTAGCTGAAGCATAAATTATACATGACTGATTAAAAGTGAAAATAAGGTGTAATTACCAACTATATATATATATATATATATATACCAACTTTCCTAAAATTTAGAATTCTACTATTATTATTATTATTATTATTATTATTATTATTATTAATTTCAAAGAAATGAATTGACATTTGCACAGTGATACAAAACACACTTTTCGATGCATAAATACTCGTTCATCATTTAACGTTTGCTGAAGATCAATACAGTGAATTAACAATATTTCTAAGACTATAATCACAGGAGAAATATTATATTTAATATTATCGAATGATACTAAACGGTGAAACTTTGTTAATAAACAAAAATACATTTTAAAATAATCATATTCCTTGTTTAATTTTACAAAAATATAACATGTAATATACAATGATAAGGATGACCAGATTAAATATTCCCATAATACATAAATGAATTGAGGAAACCTGATTAAGTCATATGAAATACTGAAAGAATATAAACCATGTATGAAGTAGAAAACTACTATAAATGTATGATTAATGACAATTAACTAGGATTCATTATGAAGCTCGTGAATGTGAACACGCAAAACTCTCAAAATAAATCATTCCAAATCATACCAATTATTTTACCGTTTCAACAACTTGATAGCGACAATGTTCACTGTCACAATTTACCCACGAAATAAGTACGACCCACTTTTTTGCAGTAGTATGGATTAATCAACATAATTCACTACAACATGCACTTCAATAAATAAAATAATATATTCGTAATATCCCAACGAGTAGAAAAATTAGATTCTCTGACGTTTCGTGACTCAGTGTAAGCCACTTCTTCAGAGAATAAATAACCAAATCAAAATTAATCCAAGTTTAAATAGTGCAAAGGAACAATGCAAGAATATTATGTGCGATCAATACACTTCAATAACATCAACAGGAAATTGAGAAAAGAGGAGAGTTTGGAGAAAATTTTATCACTAAGTCAAAAGTCTGCTTTACGTAACACAATGTGTACACATGCATACAGTAAAACGAAATAACACACACTATGTGTGAATTATAGTCTAACAATTAAGTCAGAATGTGACTACCAAATCACACTCATTAAAGAACGTGACCACACATTCGATACACATTCAAATTCACGGATACATGACCAAACAACGAATTCGCTGAAGATTAAAAGACACAATAAAGTTGACTATGATAATAAAATGGCGAAATGATCGAGTTGATCACAATATACAACAATACGCTGAAACAATCATAGTATATTGCAACAATAAACTGTTTCCGAAATAACAGTTTGTTTTTAAGGATAAAATTAAACTATCAACAGACTTTACAAGAAGACGAAATTGACTAGGTCATTCTATGAGTTAAATACATAAAAAAGGGAAGTGTCTATCAATATACTATTGTCCTTATAATGAAACAAAGCCACCATCAGTATTCTCAGTCGGAAAGCAAAAAGCATGAAACAATCAACGACACAAATCGATAAATGAAAGAACTTACTTTGTTGTTTCATTCACATGACGTTGTTTTAACCCATTGGCAAGTTTAGCTAAGGCATCGGAATAATCTTGTTCTACACTAGCTCGTCGACGATAAAAATCCTGAAGTTCAGCGACTACAGTAGAATCAATATCTAATTTAAGATCTAGACATTTCAACTGTTCTGTAAATTGATTGCGTAGCTCTGAAAAAAATAAATATGTGTAAAAAATAAAGTGCACATAAACAAACGTATTTACAACAAAACACCAAAACTAGTTCAAAAGTAAACAAAAAACCAAATCAGTAGAGCACACAATAACCCAAGAAATCATTATGCGTCTAAACAGATTAAAAAAGAAATTTTATACAACTAGAAATTACTCAAGCTATCATAATTAAAAATATCTTTAACCGAATATGAATACAATAAAAAGTTTACGGTTACAAAAAAGAATATCAGAGTGTACAACACCTCTCCTTTATTCCTATTTCCTTTTTTAGTAATCATCATATGAAGAAACACCTATTCACTGGATATTAGCTGTCAAAGTTACTTTTAGAAGAGTATATGTATTATTGATTGATTTACCAGTCACAGGCTAGTGCATCTAGCTTCAAACTACACTCCAAGCATGAGAAATAGTAAATCTATCTTCATGACCGAACCGAAGTAGATGGAGCGAGTTTTGAACTTGAAGCTTAATAGATGAAAGTCCAACGTCTTAACTACTGAGCCACCTTTCCTCAAAGATGTAACCAGTTGATTATACCTTAGATAGAAGTTCAGACATTAAAATCGGAAAAGGCTAAAAATCTGGTTGAATAATAAGAAACTAATATGACGGCTAAGAATTACTTATATTAAGGAGTAATTGATCTATAAAAATTCATGACCTCCAATCAGTTATTTGCTGAGTAACATAATCATGCATATATTTTATGTTTGAAATTTACAATATCTAAGCATATCATTTTGCCATTTCAGAAAAACTTATTTTGATGGTTTTACTTTTTTTGCATGTAAGTTAATTGAGGGAAATGGGTCAAAAATTCGGTCTCGTAAACACTTATCAGCTGGCCACATAATATCGCTACACATTATATATTAATCAATAGTTTATTCATTTCAAAGGCCCCACGAATTTTCCTCAACATTTTATCGTCTGTAACAGAAACCGGAGTCAAAACAATACTATTTTACCATACATACAAAAAAATTAACACAACGCACTGAAAGAAATTATTGTAAAATATGGTAATAACATAAAACATGTATTATCAAGAAGCAACAAGGTTGAACGACTAAGTTGGCGTGAGAACACGTCATATATAATCAGTCAATGTCTTTTTGCACTTAGTATTACAATCCGTCATCATTATTTTACATTTTAAACTACTTGTGACTAAATAATAACCTTCATTTGTCTATATATTTGCTTAATATTTGGGAGGATGTAAATGTCAATTATATTTGGGACATTGATCAATTCACAACAGCGGCAAAGAGAAGAAAATGACAAGGTCATTGTTCCTGATTTACTTCACTTTATATTAAACGCTTGATTTCCCCCTTATATGTAGACTTCATCTCAAAAATCTGCAGTAACCATACCACACATTAGTCCGAGGTATTTCTAAAACATGCAAACAGCGTTTTGTTATGCTCATTATATTCCCTAGTTTCCTCAGATGATTTGTCTTCTAGTTTATTTATTGTACGGCAGATGTGCTCCCAAACCACTGGTAACCAAATATGCGTGATCGGAACAGCCATGCAGTACAGACAAATGATAAAAGTGGTTACTGATATATATATATATATATATATATATATATATATATATATATATATATATATATATAAGTTGAAAACAGCAGTCTTGTATATTCTCTATTTTGCTATAAATAAAAACCTAATACATTAAAATAATACCAAATCTAATAAGACACTTCCACGAGAACTTTTGATTGATAAAATTTGATAATATCCTTTACTGAAGAATATGAAAAATGTATAGAGTCACTACTTAAACATACGTTGCAACACACAGTGAATAGTCAAAAGGTTATGCACTCTCAGTTACGTCTCCAAGTTCACTAATTATTCAGCGTTTGTCATTCTCGACTTTCTATCGAATAAACATGAGTCTTAAAGGGTGTAGAGATCAGTTATTGACTTCTTCTTCTGAACTTATCACATGAATACTTTTGGATTTCTTTTATAAAGTAAGACGGTCGAAATCCCCGGTCAGTTTAATTATTAGTTATAGTGTATTATTTCACTTAATATAAATATTGAAAGATTTATTATTCTACACCTAACTATTTGAAAGCATTTTAATATTTGGTTTGTGCTACTGATTATCTTCCCACCTATTAATAAATAATATAGTATCATGGATTTATAGGTCTAGGAATATAATGGTAAATACCCAAATAAAAGTAAATGATGAATCTTTTTATTCAGAGTATTGAATAGCAATAAAAAAATAAGAAAATAAAAGTATGCATCACAATATTCTACCACTGTGAAGAAAAAGTGTATAAGTCCAGAATTTCATGAAGTATTTTTTGATGAAGAGAAAATTATTGTTATTGTCATTATCATTACCATTATTACCATAGTACAACTGATAAGATTTATGCATTGCAAAACTGAGAGGTAAGGTAAACCAGTTACCAGTATATCAAGTTAGTTGTTTGGGTAAGATGAGATTGAACAGCATAAACCTTCACTTAGTCTTAATATTCTAAAACAAGATGACGATATATCAACTGGATTGAAAATAATCAACAAGTTATTAACTGAACTCTATGATTTGTTGTGATATCATCTTTGGTTTACTCAATCTAAACATCCTAACTGAAGATCTATAATAACACATTATTTACATGAAGTACCTCTGTTAAGTACATTGCTTTTTCCGAAATAATTTGGACAGTAATAGTAATGGTAGTTACGTAGGTGATTTGTTCAAGAGGGTTTGTTTCTACCTACAGAGAATTCTAAAATGTATTGGTGTCATGTAATCAGTCTAAGAATAGAAGAAAATACGCCTGTGACGTCAGTTTGACTAAAGATAGTTATTTCTTGATATAAACCGATCAAAGTACTTCAGTAGGTCAATCATGGTGGGTCCCATAAATATATAAGAAGAGAAAAAGATTAGCTTATTCACCAGGTTCTTATGTATGAGCCACGCTTTAGGAGTAAGGGCTACCATAATTTGATGAGCAAAAATCTTCAGTTTAAGGGAAATGTAAACGACCAATATATATATTCGTCCAAACATCAATTTTTAAACAGTCATACTGAAATTGTAAAACAATCTATGTAAATGAAGACTGACAAGAATTGAGTTCAACTAACTTCATACATTCGAACAATACTGAACTGCCCAAATCAAATGTTTACTTTCATGAAATAATTAAGTAATATTATTAAATTATATTTTAGTTAGTAATTTAAGTGATTTTTGTATTTTTCTGAAGTCAAAATAATTTGAAATAAATTTTGGGTATTGTCAGTCTAGTACTTCTGTACATCATAACAACGTCCGATTTGAATAAAAACTAACTCCATAACATTGTGGACGGGTTCAGTACAGTGTATTTTCACGTTAACTTGAAAGTATTGATGAAACGAGTATTCCAGTCTGTAATTAAAGTGAATCATACAGAACTGAAATTACTCAACATCATTTAGGATACCTACAATCGATAAAGTTCAACTACTGAATGCGTGGAATATACAGTACTTTACGTTTGATGTTCTTTATCCGCGAATATAGTCCATTTACAGAGCAAAACATTTTTACTTACAAATCATATTATTTGGAAAACATGCACTAAGCAAGATAAGTAAATATCACTTCGCCAATCAGTAACCATGATCACATGTACAAGATAAATTACGACAGAATGAATAAAAGCAGAATAAAAGACTACTAATTGCCAGGAAAATGTAAGTCGTAGATTGACCAGTCAAAGGTTTTCTAGTCAGAATCAAAAGCAACAAGTTAAATCAGGAAAAAAGGCATGAAAAACAAGACTTAGTACGAATTCCTGTAAGTACAAATCGCTACATTTTGTATCATCATAGGAATATGGAAAACAAAAGGATGAAAATATTACAGTAGGTAGTAGTAGTAGAAAAGAATAGACAAGTAAAAGAAACAAATTAAATTGGAGAGTGAAAATTATAGATCAACAGTATGTTCCGGAAGGTAAGGAAGAAACTCATTCGTTCCATCGAAGCTGAGTTCGGACAAAATTTACTGTACAGAAATTATTATTAGTTTCCATATTACAAACAAGGCACCTGTACCTATCGATGTGACCTAAAGCAGCAGTAAATGATTATACAAACGTATCTAACCACTGTTACTCCTTTTGTACTAGTCTACAGAACATTTTATGGCAATCGCTATTAACGAAACCGTAACACATCTCACAACCAATCAAGTCGGTTAATATTAATAGCCTTACAGATCGAAAATTCAAATTTACTTTATATTAAACTCAGAACATTAGCATCCTCCATTCAGTGATTTCTTCACAAGCCAGCAATTTTGTGAAGAAACTTCTAATTAAAGTACTTTAATCTCTTTTAAAGGTTATGTTTTACAATTATAAAGTAATACAAAAGGAACTTTTGTACAGTATACTTGCTACTTAATAGGTGTAAAGAAATCTTACTTTCCCCAAAAGCGACGTCACTTGACAAAATCCCAAGTGACCTTTTGAATTAGTACATAGACCGTGTCATTTACTAACCCATTACTTTATACAATAAATTCACCTCCGATATTTAAGCTACATTAAGAGCGTTTTCAATCAAGTTTTCCAGGTGCTCATAGAACTTTTTAAGTTGGTAACATTAGACTTTCCCAGATAAACAACGCAAAATTTTATATATATTTCAAATTGAATGACATGTCAAAAACGAAGCTAAAAATCATAATTTTTGGTGCTTCAAGCGTAAAAGTTGACAACGCTATCTCATCTAAATTACATTATATTTGAACCAAGGACTGGCAATAACTAATGAAAGCCAGAGAGCACTAGACGGCTATTTAGTCCTAACTAGTGCCTCTAGAGTAAATGCACACTCAGGACAATATACCAGGTCATAACCAAAGACTTTCACCTTTTCAGAGGTTCTCCGATCGGTTTTAGTCCATGATAAAAACTAACTGTAAA